CGACGCAAATGAGTATTTAGATTTAAAATATGATATAATTATGCTATTTAGATCCACCAAATATAAAGAAAACGGTTAAAAAAAGTGTCCCCTCCTGCTCATACATATGAGAATGTGCTTCACGAGAAAAGTCAAAGCTGGAAAAGAACCTCTTCTTATTGCCACCTCGAGCCGTACCACTAACAAAACAGCATGGAAATTCGATTCATCAGGTTTCTTCAACCAGCTTTCTGTTGTGAACAGTACCCGGAACTAGTTAGCAGAGCACGACAAGCAGCCATTCATTAATTACAAGATAAATGCTATTGTTTACCATGAGTTCGAGTGGGAGTGAGAAGCCATGAGAGACAGTTCGTCGAAAGGGACAAACTGCCCTTTTGCGTTCTTAATCAGAACCATGCCCTGATTCGAAAGCAACTATTATTTGTCACAATTACTAAGCTCTTCGAATCAACCAAGATCAACAGGGGCTAAGCCCCAAGCTAACGGTATCATCGCTTAGCACTCGCTCATTCCATCACTATGCTCGATGTCGTAATAACTTCGCCTATTTCATTTTCGCTAATGCGGACGATTATTCGAACGAGCTTATATAAACAAGCAATCCCGAAAAAAGATCCCATCCGTTTTATCACTCATTGAAACTCTTTTTATTGAACATTTTTATTCACTGCAGAAAAACCCCGCCAACTGCAGCTCCAAATCTGTTCAAGTTGTAATAAATATTTGTTTAGATTGAGTTGATAGTTAAGGTGGTTTATCTTGACTATTCACACGACCATCAATGCCGCAACTCGCACCACAAACTGAGAGTTCATATCCAATGCAAAATGCTCCTAACAAAAACCACCCAGATGAACAGAGATCCTATCCCTACGAATTATATAGCATACTTATGACAAGGGTTAACTTTGATCAGAGCCTCGAAAGCCCGCTCCAGTTATGAGACAGAAGAATGCCCACACATACAGTAGCGCTCGAAAGTCTTCGGTCAAATGCTTCTCCAGTAGCACTTTTCAGTCTTAACTCCTTTCCTACTGGATGTAATCATGCGAAATTTCAATATGTGTAGCATGGGTGTATTGTGAATAATTTCCACTATTAACCTGCAATCTGATCATGTTCCAAATATCCTAAAGAGCTTGAAATCAGAACAAACTGGAAGTACAGACATTGGTGCTTCTAGGGTTTCTTCCCTCTTGCCTTGTCCAAAGTGTACGAGCGCTAATGTCGAACACAGTAGAGGAGAAAACCCCACATAAGGTGCGAATAATTGCAGACATCTCCAACCTTCCTTTCAGCGATGTCTACTACAGCACCAAAAACCTTGCTCTTAGTTATGTGATATTGATGTTCCGCAGTCAAGTAGTGTTGGATAGGGTGAAATATTCTTTGATTGAACATACCAATATTTTGCGCGATTTGCTCCACTATGAACAAAGTTATGAACGAAAAAGCGTGAAAGCGTTTGGCCGAACACTTTTGAGCGCTACTTTATGTACTCAGCAAGTGATAGAGGATAGAGGAGGTAATTCCACAACGGTATTTGCGTTCGGGAGGAATTCCACGATATTACCACCGCCCTATGCCTGGTAGTGCAGATCATGACGTACTAACGCAGCTTTTTCAACGATTCGAGTCATCACACCAGTGTCAGGGGATGGAATTTCAGACCAGCACCGGCCTCAACAAGCCAAGCCTTCCTTCACTTCACGATCGATTAGTTAGACGCTAGATTCGCCAAGCTGGATAAAATCATAGGGCTGTATATCGCAAATCTCTGTATAGGCCAAGACTCAATTAAGCGCCACTGCCATACCGAAAGGAAGGCGAATGCGAATCAAAAGCCGTGCCTAAAAATTGTTCTTTTTCTCTTACCATTACGAAGTTGTGAAGCCACTACACTCACCATAACAAAAGCTACAACATCACCACCTCATTAACTTCACAACCTTCTATCCTTCGAACCAAATGAGGAAATTTCGCTACTCAATCGTTCAAAAATCCATTCGAAACACCCTCGATCCAGTTCGCTCTCCTCATTCCGCTTCCAGGATTTCTCAGAGTGGTACCGTTTTTACTATTATAGAAAACCTTAATAATCCAGCAAAACACGTCGCGAGTCTGTTTCCGATTTCCTCCTCAACAGTTTCAAACCAGTACATCTGGACTCAATTAGTCGGCCAACACCTCTGACAGCGCCAATTCCTCCAGCGAACTTTGTCTTATTGTCGACGTGTTGCCAATTTCAAGGCAATGTGAGTCATTTATTTGATTTTCCTTCCCAGTGAATTACCACTACCAGCAGTATAGTTATGGAGACCAACACGGCCACTTTCCAACCTTGGAGAAACCTTAAATCGCGAATCTAGCTCTACCGCCAAACGATAGCAATCGTTGAAAATGCCTAACCCCTTCCATTACCCACGGCGTACTAGCGAGTTTATAAAGCAGACAGCGTTTTTGAGCCTTTCAGACCCTTGAATAGCACAGATTCAAAAGACCAAGGTTTTGAGTAAAGGAGAGGGAGTGCCCATATAGCTAGGACGACTGTTTAACATCCAACTTTACTGGAATTCTTCTGATACAGAAGCCAAACTGAAAGCCTCTACGGCGACAAGCGCCATAGCCGACCATGGTCAGTAGGCCAGCTTACATTGAACTGAATCATTAACGAGTCAATTTATACTGAACGTATGCGCACAGACGCGACGCGCTATCTCGCATCGCGCCCGCGTCTGCTCGCATCAGTTCGATATAAATTGACTACTAGATTTACCTTTGGGTAAGTTCCTACTACTATACCATAAATAGCGTTGGCTATTTTTTTTAAACTTAAACAATTCAGATGTTCCACCTTGCACTTCAGCTGGAAATAGTTTTTATATTATCGACACCAGTTATCGCAGCTATCGTAAGAAAACGAAATTTTGTTTTTCTGCTCTACTAGAACCAGAAAAATTTCCTACTCGAATATTTCTTGTTTCACTATCAGGTGACATCGCCATGTGTGGATTTGTCGTCACGACAAGAGATTCGCACTGTATCAGCGAACGATCGAGCTCGTCTTTTGGCAGAGTATAAACATCAACGGCGTGTGATGGGATCACGACGATTCACACTAGCAATTGCTTCGTCACAGCTATGTGATATTGTAGATCGGTGAGTACTAACGAATAAGCACTTCTTATAGCTAGGCCAGCTCTGACAAAACCATCTACGGTTCTGGCCATACTTCACGATCGGCGCTTCAGCAACGGATATTTTAGCCCAGATTCAGTTTGTAGTCGACCAAACAAGGTTTGACCAGAGGAAATGTCTTTTTCGAACATCCCATTATCTTCGCTACATGATAGCTATCTCTAATCGATGTCCTTCGGAGTTCGCTGAGTATGACCGCAAGCTAAGGACTTCGCCTTCCTCCGACTGCGAAGTATAAACGCTTCAGCAACTCTAGAATTCCAGCATCGACCGTGCCCTATCACCGAAACGCATGCCCTACTGGAATGCTCGATGGGACTTGCGACTGTCCAGACCAGCCGATTCTGTCATATTCACGGAGGACTTCTTCTCAAACACAAGAGTTCGCCGAGATGTAAAAAGGAAGAAGATGAGAGAGAGGTTAAATTTTACCTCATATTACATAGAAGCCATTAAAATAACAAGGCGTACTGTTGAAAATGGACATTAAGTTCGATTTTTGACCAGTTCGCTTCAGCAATTTACTTCTCCCATACTCGCGAATCAAGGCTTCCTCGCCTCTCCATTTCCCCGTAGAAAATCTCATTTATGAATGATCAATTTGTGGTTCCTTCCGTACACTGAGCGCGAAAAAGCCGAACCTAATGTCATATATTACTGTAAAATAGATGATACGTGTTTGATGGTAGCCCATTCGACAGTAAAAGTAGAACCAACCTGAACGTACTAACCAGCCTTGCCTTCCTCACCATCACCATCGATAGATATAGCGATATGGACCGCTTCCAACTGCTCAGAATAGCTCATTCAATAGCAACGATACCAATAACTGGAAACAAATATTATTGAATAAAAAATTAGTACTATACAAAATAACTCGGGGGAATTATGCCAAATATGAAGATGAAGGCAAGATTTCCTTTAACGTTGCTTTTACAGTTGTCAAAATGAAGTTATGAAAAGTGCCAAAATAGGTATTGATCGAAAAAAAAACTAATCCACTTAAATTCTCCCCCGAAACGTTCCTAAACAATCTCACGTCCGTCCGTCCCTAAGCATAAACTTTATCACAGAAGATACGAAAAGAGGTTTAGCTAAAAATAGGGTAAGACCAATAACAATAACAGTAAAACAACGTAACAACAAAAATCAATAAAATAAGACAAAAAAACAGGCAGGTTTTAATGAAAAGATGCAATCGATAAATGGATATAATACTCAGCCGACGTCTCAACGAGAGCCAACGTGTATCGGCCGATGGGGCAGATCAAAACAGGATCAAAACGCCGAGACAACGATTTACATTACTGCGGTAGTAGCTTTACATTCGACTTTCAGTAGGGGGTCAAGATGTGCCATCCGTGTTGTCGCGCAGGAATAGAGGTCACGACGGATAAAAGTGAGATACTCTAGTTTTAGATGCTGTATTCTTGCACTTATCACTTCCAACCGCCCCCCGACCCCCCCAAAAAAATAACCACCTTCACTTCTCGAATTAATAAAAATGACCTTTCTCAATTCATCATCACGATCAGATCCCTATAAATCATCAGAATAAGTTTAACGCCAGTTATAATCCCACTGTAACTGGTGTCAAATTACAGCATACCCACTCGGACGAGTTGTCGTTTTGTGCAAGCAGGTATTCTGTAACCCCCACATTTTATATTTGCCAACTACATTTCTAGGAAGCTGAAATGTCACTAAAAAAGTGCCGTTCGACTGAACAATTCGCTCATATAGAGCTTACTACTATTTGCTCAGAGTTAGGGATCTATAAAGCAAAATGGAAATAACAATTTTAATCTCCATTTGACGGTTTCGTGTGAGAAGACCTCAGGAATCAAGCTGTCTGTCATGATTATATGTAGCCCCTAGCGCTGTTCGAAGAAAAGTTAGTTTATCTCCTTAGCTGGTTAGCGGATCAAGCGATACTGCACTTGTGAGGCTGCGAATGTAGACGCGCGTAGACGCATCGCGTCAAGGGAAAGTGTGAACGATGGTAGAATGGTCAGCGAATTGTTTTTCACCGATTCACACTCTACTTTCAATTTTATTACTGTTCATTATAATGACCAAAAGCTTAAACTTTGTATTGAACTTATTTAATTAGTATTGTTTACGATAACGGTTGAAAAACTTGAAATTTTATAAAATTTGCAGTTTTCCTCGTGGACTGACAACACATTTTCGGCGTCTGAATATCAATGCATCGTTGACGTCAGCGATTCGTGCGAATCGTGCAGCTCAACTACTTATCATACTGTACCATTTGGGACAGTGGCACACCGACGACGGTAGGTGATTGGAAAACTCGTACGCTTATCGCTTGCTTTAGTATAAACTACATTTCCTATATTGCTGCAATGTTGGTCCGAAAAAAGTTCTCCTATATTCGGCACAGTAAAACAGTAGTTGTAAAGTAGTAATGAGGTGTCATAAAACTACAACGTTCGAGGTTATATTAGATGGTGAGAGTAACAGGAACTGACGCGGGCGTTTGCGTCGCGGCTCGACTGGAATTGCATAAACTTTTCGCGATTAGGGTAACCGAACCAGCACCACTGCACATACAATGATGGATTCGCAGAATATTACGATGGCTCTCACGCAACCGCTCGCGTCTGCTCTTGCGAATCTCACCTGGGATGGACCCAGGCGAATTCTACTCCGTCATACAATACTACCCACATCATTGATAACTAGTGATCATAACGACCAAAGAATATCATAGCAATGGCAACTTATTCAGTAAACATCAACTGTTAACTTACCTTTGCTTCCTATAATCGTCCGAAATCAAAAAGAATAATAAAGCTATCTTTTCAGACGGCTGCCAAGCTTGTATGACCTCGTCAATGGCATTCTGCAATCTTAAGAAGAACGAATGTGTCAGTCGTCTGGCCGTATCGGCGAATTGTTCCGAATTCTTGACGATCGATCCGTGCTACGCTTCAAAATGCACAGATGGCATCTGCCTACCAACGCCGGCAAGGTCGCTGGTGGACTTCAGAAGCACACGAACGACGAATAAAAAAATCACTGCACGAATTTTAACAGCCAAGACGAGCCATGCCATCAGTACGGCCAGCTCCACCAGCACAACGACAAAAACACCGACAACAACAACGACAACAACAACAACGCCATCACCACCAACAACGACACTGTTGCCATCAACGACAACTACACTCGATCCCTATATGGACGATATGGAGTGCATAGTGATCGTTGACGGTGATGATGATCCCTTTTACGACAGCGGATCGGATATGACGAATACAGAAAGCTGGAATTCCACGCAGGACATCTCTGTTGGAACCTCTTCCCAGTTTCCACAGTCCACTTCGAAGGCGTCAGATACTTCAACACCCACCGATACATCTTTGAAGGTGTTCGAAAATGCTTCGAAACTGCTCGATAGCCCACAAGTTTTCTACGAAATCTCAACGCACAACGTCGATCACTCTGGGGAGATAACATCAAGCGTGAACTTCAGTACCGAAGGAGATGAGAGCTCCTCTGTGAGCACAGCCGCTACTCAAATCGATGCCCCAACGACACCCGAGCCGAGTACTACAGCGTCATACCGCTATGATCGACCACATTTCAACCCATGGTTCAACACATTGATTTACCCGTTCAACGCTACTTTACCATTTCCAACAGTTTACTTTTCCATCAACGTAGTTACCAGTTCGTACCGCCCTCGCCCTCGTCCACAACGATCTCTCGAAGGAGTTACTGTAGTGAGCCGTGGAGCGAATTTGCCTGGTGGATATACGCACGTTATTGAAGTGAGTTCAAAATTACATTTCTTCATTAGACTCTTGAAGATTGCGAGAGGAACACCAGGTACGCGTGCGGTCGCGTCGCACTCTGTCAATCGATGAACTCTATCCTCGTTCTAAACCTTAGTCCTCATTTCAAAGACGGACCTTCCTTTAAAGACCCACCAAACCTCCTCCACTGCTAAATTACTGTGTGTAGAGTGACCTCAATGAGATTAGCCCTAGATTCTATCGANCCCCCCCCCCCCCCCCTTCGCGAGAACATTCAAATCTGCTCACCTCCAACACAGCTTTTGGAAATGATGGATTCATTTCCAGAATAAAAACTTCTTCCAGGCTTTATCGCTTTCTGATGGGCACATCATTCGCGTGCCAGACCCGATCGCTAGCGGAGTCGGCGTTGAATTCTTCATAATCGTACTAAATAACGGACGGGAATGCGACAAAAAGTGTCTGAATAGACGACGTTACACAAAATGTAAACGCCCTACTGTACGTTTGAGCAGATATCGCTCTCTCACTGATCCAGTCGTTTACTATAAGGTAATACCCTTCATAACTAATTACAAGCTGGATCCTCTTCCAGCTGCATTGATCAGTTAGGCCATATACACACGTATGAATATTATTCCAGACACCACGTCAAGCAATAGAACACCTGTGGAGAGGTGCTGGCTACTTCAGACGACGTACACAAGACCCTTTCGTCTTCACATGCTTCATTTAATTATATGGAATAAACATCGTTTATGTAACACTTTATCACTTAGCACATTCCCTCACGTGCACATATGATTACTTCAGCTTCTTCTTGATGCGGAGATCATTTGAATGACCGCACTTCTTCTTTCTGCAGTTGGAGGCACGAGGAGGCAGGCGAGCATAGCACTTTCGGCAGATCTGCTTGTCACAGTTATACTTCTGAGCCAACTGGCGGAGAGAAGGCTCGATGATACCTAAAAATCGCACTACCTTCATTTACCTGCNTTCTGCCAAAGCGAAAATGAACCAATCATGAGCGCCTTGTACAAGTTCAACGGAACCCACCTCCACGAAGGCGAAGAACGAGGTGAAGGGTCGATTCCTTCTGGATGTTGTAGTCGGACAGAGTGCGACCGTCCTCTAGCTGCTTTCCTGAAGGCTAAGCAACTGAGGGGCTTTAACAAACGATCAGAAAGTTAAAATAATTAATTTTCAAATCTTGCAGCCATTAAACCAAGATTCGATCGATTTCTGACATAGACAATTCGCAGAAAATGCAAAGGGATATGCTTTAATTTAACTCGTAACTGGAAGGGAAAAAAGCTTCTTAAGACAGCACTGCCAGACTTTCGCATTTCTATCTACTTCACCTTGCTTGTGTTCATTTATACGCACAACTGAATTTGCAGATTTTGTGGCACTACACCGAAACTTGGTAATAGACTTGGTACTGTTACTGATACTCCTTGGCATCACACTTACACCAACCAACACCGCCACTTTTCGTGCTGCGTCAGCATAGCAATACGCAGCAATTAAACTTTCAGGGACACCGTAATAACTGGAATTCCACAAACATCACAAACAACCAGGACAACAACTGAACAATCATTCCTCAATCATTAACTTGTTGTGTAACCTTTTTCTAGAAGAAAAAAAAGTGAAACCAGTTAAACCGAAGTCTAAGGAATTTACCTGCGAAGATAAGTCGCTGCTGATCAGGCGGAATTCCTTCCTTATCCTGAATCTTGGCCTTTACATTCTCGATAGTATCAGAGGCCTCAACCTCGAGGGTGATAGTTTTTCCCGTAAGAGTCTTTACGAAGATTTGCATTACTGAAAAATAGATAGGACAATCAAAGAAAGGCTGAAGTTAGCATCAATGTAATGAACAAAAACGTGAAGTAGAAACACGAGGTAAATTCATCAGCACCGAAAGCTCAGTAACAGCTGTTGTGAAGGGAAATAGAAAGCATGAAACGGAAAAAAGCATGATGGAGAAACAGTTATGAAGAGCTACTAAGTAACAACTTCAATCCAAAATAAGTTAGGACTTCGAAACAACTACGATGAAAGAAACCGTTTCGTTGCAAGCTAAGACCCGAATTCTAATCCTTTTGGTGAAGGAGCTTCCTAGGATGTATGCAGCCGACGGAAGTGTTGCACAACGCGATGCAACGGTGCCATGAAAAGAAGGCCACAAAAAGCGTTGCAAAAATCCATACTTTGATACCAGGTGAAAAGCGGCACATAAGTGACACATAAATATAAATTTACTAGTTTCGAAGTAACCATCTAAATAAATGTCCCAACTTATCTTATATCCCCAATCCAGACCGTCTGTTCGCTTACATCCAATGTCCGACAATGCTAAGCAGAAGGACACTCGGCGCATCCTCGATACCGTATAATTCAGTGAGCCATATCGAGTTTAGTCGTGCTCGATTTCGCTTCAACTTGGATGTTTGATCCAGCCCATTTCCCTTTGACATTTGCAACGGCACTGGCTTTAAGACAGTGGTTTTCGTTCACCACTCCATTCTACGAGCTTGGAAAAAAGCCAACACATCCAGATTTTATGGCATCAAAGAAGTTGAGCTGCGTCCATCAGTGACTAAAAGTGGAAGTTCGAAGTCTAACAGACACACGTCTTATTATTGTTTAAGTTGCAGCACCCCATGTAATGAACACGACGTATGAGTCACCAAACTGCGGTAGTGATCACCCGCTCCACGTGAACTTCTGTGTCGCATGCTCGCTCGTCATCCTCCCATGCTAAGTATGTACGCTTCCTACAGAAGAGTAGCATTCAAACAATTAAGTGTTAGGGGTGTAAAAAAATTAAGCGAATGAATGAAAGACGAAAGAAGAAAAAGCCTTTCTTCTCTATTTTTGGGACCGCTTTTGTATGTCGAAATGTTTGAATCACACTTCCTCTTTTCCCAATAGTGGTGTACATCAAAGAAATCGACAATGTAAGCTCTAACCTCTTTTATTATTATTCACAGATTGAATAAAGGCATAGGCTAGGGATATTCTTTTAAAATCGAGTAATGGTTTCTTGATAAGATTGTGGATGCGATCACATTGCAAACAATCCCCCGCTACCTAAGAAATGACTCCAAAAAACACACTCAGTTGGATGATATCATAGATATCAGATGATCATCGATAGATAGTCGTGCATAACAAATTCGACTTCAACAGTGTGTCGTCTTCAACACAATAAATTCAGACATCTAAGAAATGTAGAAATGGACCAACAGCACCACCCAGCGCCTCCCGACGGTTCTTACCTCACCTCATTCCGATAATCAAAAAAGAAACAAAAAAGAAAAAACCGAAAATAGATTACATTGACAGTTCTCGAACAGGAGGAGGAACGATCAAGCGCAGCGATGCAAATGAAATTGTGAAACTGACAGCCACAGCTACATCGAATACTCAGCCAATGATTACGGTGCATTGGCAGCGTGCCTAGAAACTCGATTAGAGCGCATAATTACCTGGGCGAGTTTCGTTTTTCTCTTTTCGTCGAAGTTCCCGATAATTTTCAAAAAATTCCTCTGTCCAGTAATGTCAGACGATTATAAAGCAGTGCGTGGTGGCGCTTTAAAACTCAAAGGGAACAAGAAGAGCCTGTAAGTTGTTATATCATCCGGTAGAATGTTGCTAGTTTGACTTTACGCCTTTTCTTTGGAATATTCACGTTGCTGGAAGAGTGTGTATATTTTTATTTAATGAAAGGTGATTTTTCGGTTCAAAGCTGACAGACCCAAAAAGAACAAGTCGAAAAACAATAATGCAGATAAACCTGATCCGGATGCGGATTTCCATGGTGAGTACTTTTGAGGCCGCTTTAGTTNTTTAGTTTCACCTTACTCCATTTTCTTTTCTTTGGGCTTTTTTCTTTTCGCTCCTTTCCGAAGCTGATTTTGATTGATTGATTTGATTTATAGAGTCATTGTTTAGGTGGTTGGTGGAGAATTGTGGAAGAAGTCGATTTGAAAGGAGGAGAACACGTATCGTTTGAATGCGGTAGCGGTAACAGCTGCTATCTATCTGCAATGGATAATGGAAGGTTCACCATTGGTCTACCTCATCCCGAAGGTGAAGAGCCGAGCCCAGAAGAGATCTTTGCTGTCGTAAAAACGCCGGACGATCCCAAAACGAGGTACGTTCTTACAAGTTTATCTCTTCCTCCGAAAATCGTTTGAAAAACCTTTGCTATTACTTCTACCTTATGTAGATGCAGCTTGTTAACGGAAGGTGAAGACATGAATACCACCCTTATAAATTTCAGTTTCAAAACTGGTTACGGTAAATACATTGGAGTTGATGCTAATGGTGCCCTTGTTGCTACAGCAGAAGCCATTGGACAACGTGAACGTTTTCAAGTTGTTTTCGAAGAGGTATTGACTTTACTGAATTGACCACTGTCATCTCTCCCCATCTTCACTTATTTTCAGGGAAAGAGCGCCATCCAAGCAGTCTGTAATCCCTTGTTCTTATCAATGGCCGTAAGTAAGGATGGTTCGATTTATGTAGCCAGCAAAAAAGCCGGTGAAGAAGAAATGGTTAATGTGAGTCAATTCCCTGACAGTTATTTCGTATTTCATCATGTTCACAGCATTATAAGCCCTGAGGGTGCTCCTAGAAATCATTTACTAATATGGTCTTAGATCCGTACGAATGCCAAGAAAACTGGTCCAATAGACTGGCGAGCCGACGCGGACAAAAAATCTGCCAAGGACTGCTCCATGGCCTATGTGTACGTTTACTTTCTGCCACCATTTTGAATGTAACTGAAGAAGTATAACTCTTTAGGAAGATGTACCAACACTCAAAAGTCGAAACAAAAAATCGTGCTATTCCTGAAGAGGTCTTCGATATGAGATCTGTGAAACGTGCACAAAAGGAAGGTGACCTCCATGAAACGTTATTAGCTAAGCGGATTAAGATGAAATCGGATCGCTATTGTTGACGTTTACCTCAATGTAATAAATATTCATTTCCTCTGCTAAGTGCTTGTTCAGGCGTTTTGTTGTTTGTTCAGAAGGTTTGTAGTTTAAGAAGACGTGGCTTTATCAGTGGGGGGCGAAGTACATCAGACTGGCTTTAAACCTAATTAGACACTATTAGTTTGTAGTTAAACATTTCCCTTCCTTTCATAATTCCCTCAAGATTTCTTCCTTAATGGTACTTATAGTCGTTGGGAGATTGATTTCCTAGTAGAGATCCAGTGAATAGATGGCGATTCCGTGCATAAGTCTAAAGCAGGGCTCACCCGAAAAAGATACGTCCTCCACTAGACTGATCTTCTATCATCGGAATCTCGCCTTCATCTCAGTAAACTCAGTTTGGAAACTGTAGGCTAAGGTATTCAGTAAGCATTTAAAAGATTTTATGCTCAATATAGTTAATCTGCTATATGAACAAATTATAAACACACCAAACAACAAGAAGAAGAAGAAAATGATGAAGAACAGTGAGATACAACAAAACCTTATCAAACTTAATCCATACACACACAAAATGAGACATATTTCTATACACGAATAAACGACGACGTTCACAGTTAACCAGAAGCGAATGTATAATGATTTGAGGCCAAAATACACGTCGATTTATTGACTGCCTACACCAACTCCACACTACAATATGTGTGTGGGTGCGTGTGAATTACATAAAGACTACAACCAACATGTACATTTTGGGAATATCAACGGGTGAGTGCTTGACTGGTATTAGAAGGGAATTTTGTTCATTTACAGCAACAATATCACTTGCCCCCACAAGAAATATTGTTACTAGCAAACAAAGGAATATGATTTCAAGGTCAATAAGAAAATACTAAGGGACCGGTAGACGACAGCCTCGCTCCCCTTTTCCAGCACATCACACTTGAGGCTTTCAAGCCTTGCTCGCCTCTGAATCAGCTGGTCGTGCCGTAACGCACGTGTTTGCAACATTTTGGAATAGTCTAGAAGTTTTCACAATGAAGTGGGTGCAAAAACGCAAACTATGAAAAATTTCATTGACAACTCACCGCTCAATTTCAGGAGCGCACCGGGTGAACTCGTACTTCCAGAAGTTGTAAACGGGATTTTTGATTAGTTCGATGAACGTGATAAGCAGACCCCACGGATGTGGACGCAATGCTACCAGTCGTTCGAAAAGGATGCGTGTGATTTGTTCCTGAATAAGTGTAACTAGTCACATCGAAACTACTGTAATTATCTTGCGAACAGTTCTAAACGACAGAACCATTCTTATTCAAAAACGACCCTATACCATGGACTTTGTCTGCTCAGTTATACCAGCCCTGTCGACAGAATCAACTAGATAAACCTTCTAATTAATAACCTATTTTCATAATCTCTCATAAATTCCCTTCAGATCTCCTTTCGATCGCAAACTAACCTGAATCGCATCGTGATCCGAGTTCAAGAACAAAAACAAAAACACGCAACTGAAGTAGTGAGTATGCGCGTTCGGGTAACGCAGTTGATTTGCGATCGCATTGAATAGCAGATATCGGCCTAAACACATGAACGAGCATTTCAAGAATTGAAAGTAACAAAAATGAAAAATAACCACAAACTCAAAACATGTTTTTACTGCTTATGAACCGACCTTCTGTACACAACTGAACAGCCAGATTTTGGAAAATATCCATGAATGCTGTATGCGCAATTGTGTGAATCGAAATGCGTTGCCGTCGCTCGTGTAAGCTTTCGATAGCTCTGAAATTCTATGCTCACCTAACGTGGAGCAATATTCTCCAAATACATAAAATCGCTATTGAAGTGGTAATTCATCATTGTTAGTCATACAAACATAAACAAGTGGGGGAAAACAACAAACTCACTTCATTCCGACGTACAAAACCATGGCATTCATCACCGTACTGTTGTACTTGGAACCGGGCGTATCAGATATCTGAAGACATCAATGGGATTGCAGTCAAGAAAAATTGACGATTATAAGAGTAGGGTGATAAAGAAACCTGCAACATTCCGGGCAACGCTGAAAGGAAGTCAACTGCCGAACGGGTCTTGAGGTACGCATCCAGGGGCAAGCGAATGGAATCCGGGATTATGGACGCCATGTTCAAGTTCGATTTCGGTTCAATCGCCATTTCCGGGATGCTATCCACTTGCTGAAACACATTCACAAATAGCCGAAGTTATAAATACTTTTTTAAAACTATCAGAACTGTTAATTTCCGACAAAGAAATACTTTTTCAAGTATATCTTACTTTGAAGTTCAAGGCGAACGGGTCTGGTAGTCGCATATTTCGGGGATACGCCGACAGCACCAAATTCCGGAGCTGCACACAGTTCGGCGGTATCGTATCAATGATGACGTAGTGATATTCGCACAATAGTTCCGGGAAGTCGTGAAGAATTACTAGTAGAACCCTGAAAAAGACATGACAATCATTAAACAAGCGACTGAAAAGCAAGTCCCAAGGACGCTCATTTCTACACTTATCCCACGTATCGGTGTAAAACGTTGGCGATCTGGGCTCCCGAAAGAACGGAGAGAGTGGGAAGCCATGACAAACCGAAAATCGGAACTTCAATCCCACACCAGTAAGGAAAGGACCGTCAACTATGACGGGATCATTTCTGTCGCAAGGGTTTTGCAAGGGACTACGTCCTCTAGCACCACTCAAAGAGACTCACCTAAGTGTTCCTTTGTACAAAACGGCTATCGACTTTGGCAGTTGAATATTCCGTAGGAATGGAGCGAGGAACTTTAAATGGCAGATCAACAACTGTGTATACATCGCTGATGTCTTCATTGGATCAACGCTTTCAGCGAAACCGTTACCTAAAACAAGTCCCATTGCTCTAAAAAAGTCGATATTCAATAAAAGGCCATTGTACCTCCCAGAAGGGCTCCAATTACAGCTCTGTGACCGACGAAATCCAACCATGCATACGCAAAGCTTGGACATCGCCGAGGTTGCAACATAAACAAAGCATTCTGAAGAAGTAGGAATCATGCAGGTTTCAACAGTTATCAATATTAATGTAAGTCCCGGCTATCATCAACCGACCTGTCCGAAGGCTTCGATTATTGACCATGCAATTGGTTCAAGATTTGATCCGTCCGGTGTGGTCAGTTCGATGAACAACGTGATCAGAATTCGATGATACGGCATCGCGTTGAATTCCGCTCGTCGTACCTCATGATCTACATGTAGTACGCTTGTGATGATGTGGAGCACCTTCTTCAGAAGCGCGATCTTTGAAGTGCCAGATGGAGATGCACTCCCACCGTCAGAGTACTTGATCATTAACCTAAAACACTCACTCTTGCACAGACATACTCGTTTTAGGAAGGAAATTCCGAAGAAGCAGCACTAAATAAACGAAAAATAACAAAAACAGACACAATAAAAGAAAAATTAAAGCCAACGTACGCCATAAGTTTTACGAATGCATCGAGGGTGTAGTAACATCGCTGTCGCACGATATTCGATGGACTGACTGGAGCGGATGCATCCGTTTTCAGAAGTCGTAACGCAACATCTACACACATTTCAGTGCACATTCGGATAAACTGTGAGATCTTTTCATCGCCTGACAGGACACCATGTTCGTGCATCTAAACGAGTAAATATCGTACTCTTAAAGCAACCATCAAAAAATATGAGTCAGCGAACCATCACAATCATTTGGAACAACGCCTCCTTTGGATTTCTCTGTGCCATAGGCGTATAACACAAACCAATCCATTCTCGCAGAATGATCTCCACCTTAAATTCCGTCATAAAGGTTAAGAAATCAAACAATCGAAGGAAAGAGGGCTAACCTTATCGGACATTCCAGGCTCCTCAGCTGATGGCGGAACAGTTGTTGGTACACCAGTCGTGGCTGGAGTCGATGTTACCAACGAATCCATGGCTGCTGGTCCAAGCGGCGAGTCCAGGTTAGGCTCAGTTGCTCCTCCTGCAGCAGCAGCTTGCTGTCGCAAAATCGCCTGTACTTGCTGCATCTTGAATAGCTGCTCATAGGTAGCCGGGAACGCCTAAATATCGTTTTTATGCCACGTTTACGATATCAAACAGAAAAGAAATCGCCCTTCAAAGATTGTAGGACTACTACTGGTACGCACCTCCTTGATGACCGGAATCCGTGAAGCGTCATTCGAGCCTATAACACGGAAGAAGCGCTGTGCAAACAAGGTCGCTTCCACATTTGATCCTCCATCCATGACGTGAGCCAAATGCTGATCGAACACTTGTGTTTGCACCAGTTGGTGTTTCAACAGCACCTGAATCGATTGAAACACTTGAGTAATGGAGACTCCGATCATACACCTCTAATTTGTTGAATTAGCTCACTTCAATAGCTTCCACATTCCATTTGTAATCCATTCGAACGTTGACTATGCTACCAGTGATACGTCTCGACAAATCCACCAAAGTGAATTGTGTGAGCAGCACTCGACATACCCCAAGGAACAAATCGCGAAGGCGTCTTGCCCATTCGACGTCAAGTGCTGAAAATATAAATGACTATTCAGAGATTGAATCCTATTAAAAGTCACCAGTTTGAAGTTTGCCAACCTTTCGATGTACTATCGACATGGTAAGCATGCAGAAGATATTCAACGGAACGGGTAATCAGGTTGACGACCGTCATCGAATCACGTGGATTAGATGCGAGTTGAGATAGTAAATCTCGAATCGCTCCAACGCCTTGATATGCCTAAAATACACTTTGCTTGAAAGTTATAAACAAAACTAGGGGCAAGAATCCCCACCTTATTAGACGGATTCGGTTGCGCCTGCATCGTAATATCCACTTCCTTGATGATGCTATTAAGCTGTTGGGTGAGTTGCTCGACCTCTTTAGCTGTTTCAGGAAGAGTCATTGCTCTGCTGACCGTTTCCATGACTGATCCCGACGTGTCCTCATTGATTGTGGGCTTGAAGCCACAAATTCTTCTGAAACAGCAATGCGATTATTTCAGAAATCCTACCTCACACACGGTCAAAGTGAAATTATCGATTTACCCGCTGAATTGCTCATAGATGGCGAGATGTTCCTTTCGCGTTGGACCGACTTGAATGGCTATTCGTGGTGGCAGTTCAGCTTGAATCTTCTCCATGGTAGCATCGTGCCATTCCGTTCCTTCACGGCGAGCAGCCACTCGACGTGCACACTCGGCATCCAGTCGCTTTTCCAGCTCGGCAGCGGCCTGAAAGCAAAAGCGGCAGTTAAGTAAAGTGTATGTCAGTCACCTCGACCACTGAGTCATTCAATTGTGACTCAGAACTGAGTCACAAGTACCGCCAATGACACCTTCTTCTACTCCACACAAACAATACATATAAGAGAAATTCTTNTTCACGATAAAATTCGTAGTCAATTCGATGTTATCCTGTGTGATTGCCCGAGCTGCTTCATCGATCATCTTCGACTAAATCATGTGAATACTTCTCACAGCACACCAGCATGAGTTATCATCCAAACAAATCTGTTGTAATTTGCGGATCTCTTCGGAGAGGTCTTTTGCAATGAAATCGCCATGGAAAAGAATATGATTAGGTCCTCCACTGAGCGAAATGTGGAAAAATGGCCTATACGGGCGCGGTGGCGGTCAGGAAGGCGAACGCCTAATGAACTATTGGCAATGTTCACTGCTTAAAAGAAAGGAAAGGAGAACCGATGCGGCCATTGATTAATGACTAGTTATTCCTCCTGGCGAATTTCTCTGTTAAGCACATTACCATGGCCATATGCCAGCAAAGGCCTGATGTTTAGTGAAAATTATGATGAGGGAACAGTTGAAGGCTCGCAATCAGTTCAACACTAGTTAAAGGATATGGCACTGAATAGCTCTTAAGACCATTTAAAACGCATTTGCTCCGGTCTAAATATATGTCAAGTCATACTGAGGTGGACTTAGCCACGCCACCGTGTGCCCTCTGCATTGATATGCATTGGTGGCCAATCATTCACGCAGCTTCGTACAGCGGCATCTATGTAAATGACTGGTAAGCAATTCAATACCCGCTAACCTTCCTAAGAAATTTAACTGGAAGACATACAGCGTAGGAACAGCGTAATTTTGCCACCAACACTGTCAGGAGGTAACACGTGATAAAGATAATAATAATAGAAAAAAAAAGAAAAATAAAGATCGATCGAAACTAACAAGTTCAGAGTTCGACGTTCGAAGAGAGTTGGTGAACGATTGCTGCAGTAATGATGCCATCGTTCCAGCCAGTGGATCACGGCAGGTGATCATCGCCATGCCCGCCGTCATTGCACGCATCTACAATAATAATTAAAGCACTAAGTATGAAAGTTTTTGACCCCAGAAAAACAAAATATTAGTCGAAAATTGCTACACACAAAGAAGATTCAAAAAACTGTGAGAACTACTATGAACTCGGTTCGAAATTCCTAATTTTCGACAATTGATGAAAAAATCGAAACCACTCGCACCATATGAAATGCTGCCTTTTTCAAGTTGGTTTCATCGGGATCGAGGGCGAAATCTTTGCGAACGAGCGTTTCAGTGACGATCATCGCAATTTTCAGCGCTCGTTCTGCTACAGGCCCTGAAACTGATTATTTTTTTCAAAACAGTTTGGATGCGAACTACAGGAACTGATGAAAACCGAACAACTTCCCAACCTATGAGCTCTTTAATGGCCTGCGTAAGCGCTGGTCGTACATGATGTTTCATTTGCGGATGAAGCTGGAACACCACTATTTAGCTCGAGAGTAACAAGTTTGTACTTCAAAACATATGAACATGGCTAAAATTACAGGTACACAGCTTTTTTGAGCACGACAACGGACCTGGAATAACGGTAGTGACAGCTGGAACTTGATATGAGGAATAAGCCCCTCATATGACGTCACATTGATGTCGTGATATGCAAAATGAAGAGGTGGTACGATAACAGCGCTGGCAGTACCGTCGACAATTGCTGACGAGCCCTCCGATTCTGGATTCGGAGTCGATGGCTAAATATCATATCGTTACTAGCAGCTCGTTGAAAAGAAGTGTTAGCTACCTTTGTATCTGCTCCTGGAGCAGACACTGCATCAGGAGCAAGTCGCATTTGACCTGGTACGGGACTGCTATTCGCCTGATCGGGTTGTGAAAGGGTTTTCAGGTCTGAGAGCTGTTGAGTGACCCTGACAAGGCGGTCGGTGTCCTTTAGCAAGCCTTCGACGGGTAACGACTCCAAATCCACTGATAACTCTTTACACAACACCTGAAATTATTTTCATAAGTCTTCTTATGCCGACTGCCCCCAGCCGCCTTGTGTGCATGGCCGACGGTAAGCAAGATGACAACAAACAGTGATTTGGTAAAGACGACGATTCCGAAGCTCAGCCCCCACTCAGCCTTATTCAATTTCTCAGATAAGTACTTGTTTACCTATTCCCCAATCCCACGCAACATTACAGTCTGCCGCCCCACTCATGAAAACCTAGGACTTTCACAAAAACCATGGACGAAAGAGTAGATTTATTGAAATGTAAAATTTAATTTACATTTGATCACCCATGAACATGAATAAAATAACACAATTAAAGTGGCAAACTAGTTTCGCACTTACTTCGATTTCAAATTTCAAATTAATTTTCAAATCTGGTTCATTGTGTAGTTCTGCTAATACTTTCAATATGGAACGTATCCATGCGCATGTGGCACTGAACAGCTGAAATACAAAAATTATTATTACACCACGTACGATTCTTTCATCTAGCTTGAGCTGAACAAGTATTCCGACCCGACAAAGAGCCACTAAAAAAGGTCACTCCAGCACTCATGATAATCCAACGAAAGCCTAGCTAACCTGAGTTTTACCACATGAGAACAGTATTTTCGCAATGAACGGTACGACGAATAACAGCTCTTGTTGTCCTTTATAGTACGCTTCCATAAGAAGCGCTTTCAAATCCAGTTCCTAGAAAATTTACCTTCACCTTTTTGACCAATCACCAAGCGTAAATAACCCTTATGGACTCTTACAGGCCCTTCGAAACTTGGTAACAAAACACGTCTGACCACGGAATTCGGAGAAACCTACATGAATCAGAATTGGCTTATTACGGGCTATAGTGATGGAACCAAGCCACATGCCCAAATTCTTCAACAACTGTCGATCACTGTAATTCGAAGCCGCTTGTCGTTTGTCAGATCGCAGTAAAATCTGGAAATAGTGTCGATCGCAAAATGCTGGGAGGCACTCATTTCATGTTTTTTTTTCTAAAAAACCTCACCCTAATGTTCCTGAACGTCTCACGCTTGATATGTGCGTCCAAAAGTGGATGGTTTATCGCTTGCACAAATTGATTGTACAGTGGCAGAAAGTTTTGCTCAATTGACACCCGCTTCATAACCACGTACTGAGCGAACCACCGTATAAATGGTTCACCATGTTCATCAATTAGCGCTAATACCTGAAAATTTTTATAGTTATCCACTTTTACCCGAGATCACCTCCTAAGAAATCACAATACTAGAATTCTAAAAGTAAAAGAAAAGCTTCGAATGCTGACCTCATCCTTTTTGGTTGTTAAATTACTTTGCGAGAGGTTGTTAAATAGGAATAGCACTTTATCAACAACCGCAACGTCCGGCTGCGCAACCTCAGCACCCTCCTTTTCTGTCGCTGAGACCAAAGTGTCTACATTCGTATAGGACAGCACAGAGTTACCCTAGAATTAGGCCATTATATTTAGATTAAATAAATGTAGAAACAGTGTTTCGAAGCCTTGCACTGACTGAGAACCATCGGAACTATTTTCATGAGAATGCAAAAATCGTTCTTATCTAACTTTTGGAAGAGCTTAGCTCGTAAAAATTGCTTCTGCTACATTAAGCCTCTCTTAAGGCGATGTGACTCATGTTGGTGGTGATAAAAGTAATCAGATAGAAAATCAGATAAATTTTCAAAAACAGCGAGTGAAATGGAAATTTCAAATACCATTATACTGCAACAGAATTCTCACAAGAGCGCTACTATCGTCTACTGACATTTTGGTTCAAACCAGGATTCAATTACAGCTACGAGAAAGCTCCAAAAAAGTCACTATTCAAAAACTCACTGTTCGATTCGTACTTCCAACGCTCGTACTGCTCGATGTTGCCTAAAAAAATAAACATTTCAGAAAAGCCAAATATAAGTATGAGCAAATCATACAAATACAAAACATCTACTCCCAATACATATTACCTGTAAAAGAAGGTAATACTATAGGGACTTTAAAAAAGTAATACATTAGAGTGAGATGGTGGATATGGATTTTGTTCACATTTTCTTTCACTTTTTTCTGGTCCAAATGTCAAAAGTTCACGGTCTAGTGCAGCAAAAGTAATGAAATGGAAAAATTACTGGGAATATTTTGCACGAACAGTATTGTACCCCCACTGATTGGTAGACAGGATAGGCAATAATGAAGCAAATGGGATCACCAAAACCTGCTAAGGGAACGAGGATTTATGTGAAAATGAACTTCCTTCAGGTATGTTCCCCGACCATTATGCATTCGTGACACAAAAGAAAGATGTCAGTCAGAATACTCCACCGTTCGCAAATATTTGCCAGAACATTTTCAGTTTTCACGAAAAATTTCGACAGCTTGGTGGTTGACACTTTTCTTTCCCTTTATCTACTACTACCGTTGACGCACTGCAACCTTATACTGCATCAAAACAACTTTCGAACATGAACTGACAAAGGTGGAGAGAGATTTCAACGGTTCACTTTTTGTTCAATTTTCCCTTTGCAAACTTCTCCATTCGCTCTATTCTGGATATGCATGGGTTAGCCGTGACGAACGACATAATGTCAAACATTCCTTCAATATCGGACGATGAGTAACGCTCCCGGAATCCTATCGCTACCACTGAGTTGACAGCTTTCATTATTAGCTAGTCATGTCTATGAATCTGACTACTTAGTTCAGAAACCAAGTATGCTATGACAGTACAACTATACTAATTCAATAAAGCATCGGTTTTAAACCAATCAAAGTATGCTCACTTTGGCACTTTCCGTGCTTGACGATCTTTGGGCTGGTGTCCAACTTAATGGAGGTGTTGCCCTTCCACTAGAATCCATAGGTGGAGGGGCCATACTTTGTACGGGCAGCTCTCCCTTCAGACCAGCCAGAACGTATTCTTTGAGGCCTTGTGGGAATTTCGAAAAGTTCTCATGCTGTGCGATCATCGAACAGACCTGGATTTTGAAACTTAGATATACATTCGATATAGGCTTCTATTAATCTTAGTGACTTACCTTGGGGTACGAGCACAATTTTGACCGGCATGCTGTTAATGAGACTATTCCAAAAGTCCACAACATACTACCAACTTCGGATTGCAGAGATTCAATCACTTTCCGTACAGCCGTCGCAAAATGCAGATTACTGCAAAATCTCGGTCTTCATTTGAAAGACAAATTATCGTGGAATCGAACTCCACCTGATAATGCCCTCTCTTATGATACCACCATAGATTTCGGCAGTGGTTCGCAATTCACGTTCTGGATATTCATGAAAAAATCGATATTCCTCAAACAGGTTTTTCACAACGCATGCCAGAACCTAAAATGCCATGCAATTCCTGGGTTATAAGATAATGTTCACAAATATTGCTTGCCTTTTGATCTCGAGGATTCTGCGACATCTTCAGGCCTTTCAAGCGCATTATCAAATCACCCACGAGAGAAGACTGGTTATAAATCTGTAAAATATTATTATCAAAAGTAAAGACGTAAAACTGTTGCATATAGCGAAGCGTTCCAAACGAAGCAATAAAAAGTAGTACGACGTACCTGCTCGAAATACATGTTGGCTTCGTCCTGCACGTCTTTTGGAAAATTCATATCATCGATGACTACGGGACCCGCACCTAATGGCATTGGTGCCGAACGAAGATCAACCTTAATTATGTGTGCTTGCAAAAATTCTACCAGCACCAGAGAGGTAGCGTAAACAGGGAGGGGAAGGGGGAGGTGACCTACTACACCTTTTTCTTCCTCAATAAACAAGTCGATATTAGGTTGGCGCCTAAGTAATAGCGTAAATTTCAGGAACGTTTGATTACCTTTTACCAATAAAGAAATATACATTTAATTATATCTTGACCTCAACTACTTGGCTGCCAACCTAATAAAACTAGATAGAACGATGGAGCTGCAAGTTAAAAACGTAGGTGGATTTTGGCAAAATGTTTGGCTCAGGCTCTCACACGCTCTTATTTTTATCCCTTGAAAAAAAAAAACTGGGCAACGTTCTCAGGATAGGTGTGAGGATGAACAGAGGTACGAAAAAATACGGAAATGCAAACAAGGTCGCTGAAAATTAAAACAAAAAGAAAAACATGCGATGGCAGCACGGTTACGAAGCGGGATGGTTTTCCGTAAAGCGTCTAAGAACTAGATACAGAAAACATTTTTGCCTCAAAGATGGAAGGGCAAGAACAGAAAGACTTCAAAAAGACAGGGAGAAATTTAAAAAGAAATACGAATAGAACCGTGGTGGAGAATCCTTTGAGACTTATTTCAGTACTAACGAGATGGACTTGAGGGAAGCGGAAAACTCTCACCTGTGATGACGTAGGTGGTGGTTGTGGTTGAAAATCCATTTGTTGAGATGGGGTAGGTGGACCACGTTGTTGTCCAGGTCCTTGAATTTGCCAACCAACTCCACTGGCAGAATTCTGAAGATGTGAGATGACTCAATTTCGGACTTTAGTTAATTCTTCACTCTATGATCCTACCTGTCGTTGCGGTGCAGGAGGCATACCAGATCGCATCATTTGTGACGATGGTGACATTGCCATTGGTTGACCACCAAAAGGTTGGTTTGCACCGGGATGTGCAGACTTAATGACACCACTATACTAAAATTTCTACTAAATTAATGGGGTTCCCAAAATGTCAGCCCACCAAATAGTTTCCATGTAAAAAGGTTAAACTCGAAAGAAGTATCGAGCACATAGTTCAAAAGCTTCAAAGAGAACAGCAATTTTTCGACAGCGAGAGCTAAAACATGATACTGCTTACCCGAAGCAAATCTTGACTTCCACCAAATGCATTACTACCGAACATAGAACCTAATCCAACCGGATTCGATACAGGTTGTTGGGGGCCAGCCTGGAATGCAAGTATAAGCAATCGAAGCACAAGAAACCTCCTAAAGGTACTTCGCTCATAATTTCCCTTCTTGACCTTTTCCTGAATTAGTTCATTTTCATTCTTAACCTTTCCCTCCATTAGCACTGACATAAAGGAACGGGTTTTAAATTTAGTTGTCTTGGGTGGAAGGTAGCTCCCAAATTTCTCTTGATATTTGAGGAAATGCTAGTATTAACAGTAATACTCAGTGTCACTAATGCAATATTATGTATGCATTCTCCAATGATGTAACATAAACCTAATTCTGGAACCTGTATATTGGCCACAACACCTTTTTGATCAACCATTAGAAACATTTCTTTTTCTTTTTTTTTCCTCAACTTCTAAAACACCCATTGGTAAAACTGAAAACTACAAGTTGAAGACATCAAACTATAAACAACTCTGAAGGTGAAAAGATAAAAATGGCATTAAATCTGTGACATTTATTTCCTCAATTTATCCAGGTGGAGTCCTTTTCTGAAGAATGGCACAAATTCATAAAAACAATTGTGCTAGTTCAAGTCCGAAGGAACTGTTTGATCATCTACGCTCAAAACACTTTAAAATCTGATTCGAAGTGCAATAATTTGCAGATTGCACTCCCGACTATTCTGCGGCCTTTGCTGATTGCTCCGTCTGAACGAACCTTACTCTAACGCGTGACCGTCCGGCTACTCGCAAACAAACTTCATCACGCGCTGACGTGTGATGGAAATGAACGTGGTGAACTTCAATAACACAACAATAAGTGCAACCGGGGGAAATTGAATATCGAAATGGCGCTGCCATGGCAAGTACAGATAAAAAGATGAGAAAGATGAAAAAATAGAAACGTGGATCCCACCTGCATCGCTAGTAAATTATGAGGTGGCGGCGGAGCGCCGGCACCATTTGGAGGAAACGGTTGTGGTGGTGGCGGCATAGATTGTGGTGGTGGCCCGCCAGCACCTGGAGGTCGTCCGGGAAATCGGGCATCCATACCGAATCCGCCAACGATTGGAGATCGCCCGGTCGACGAGACCGACGAACTCCTCGCTGAGGATTCCCGCATCTGAAAATGTAAATGGTGAAGGTGAAGAATTCATTAAAACTTAAGAAAAAATGTTTTCAAGAGCCAATTAAGTCAATAACGCATTACTTCCACTTGGAAAAGTACAGTCGAGCTCACTATTGCCACTAAACAGCGTCTACGCCAACGTCATTTTGAGTTATAATGATGCGATAATTCACATTCGCTCCAGCGATAGCAATCGTACATATCGCTATCCATCACTTTCATACTATTCAATTCATATGTGCATTCTCAAGATGTTGCACTTATCGAATATTTCTTATAACGTCAGCATGTAATCAAATTAGTATTGATTTCACCTGTCTATAAACACCTACGATGATAACACCAAAGATCCAACTTCGCCCTACCCCAAACTAGGAAAGGGCCGAAATGGGCCCTGAATGCTGCTTCGACACCAGAGACATGTTTGCAACTTCACAACATCAATGGGCTAACCACAGTCAGTAAATTTGGCTCTGATCCATGCCGAAATAACGCAATCTTACTTGACGTCTAAGCTCAACTAATTTGGAGAACGTCTTCAGAAATTTCGAATCTCTAGCAAAACGTGACTATAAGCCCCAGCCAAGAAATGATTAACAGTGTAGCTACAGGAGTTAGGAGTCGTAACCACTCAGAAATGACCCGTTTCCTAATCAGTTCCTCAAAAATAAACTAAATCCAGCTAGCCAACGAATTAGATGCCGTTTCTATTGCTAGCTTCACTTACCGCTGAATTCACCAGCGTATTATAACTAGTATGTGGTGCTGTTGGAATTACAAAAAGTTCATCAAGTTCGTACTATACGAACTTACACGGATTAGTAACGAACGTAAAAACACACCGACCGATTCGATTCATTGTTTTGTCTTATTAGGATTCAGGATGCATGCAAAATATGAAAAGAGCATTTGACTATCACTAGGCGAAGTTTATAAGAATTCCAAAACTTGGTAGTCAATCACATTTTCTGATTCTCATCTTTCGAAAGTTCAAAATAAATTCAACATTCTAATAATGACTACTGGAACCGGATTGACAAACATGTCAATGTATTGAACATATTCGACAAAATTGAAACGATGGCCTCGGCTCTTCTAAAAGCCACTCTGGAAATCAATACAAGGTGATGGCATTTTTGAGCGCTTTGTCGACCCTCAGTCAGCAATCAAAACCAGTCTGCGCTGCGATTAAAAAAACCGTCACAGCTGTAGTAAAAAATGAAGGATTTCTTTCAGATTTGTCTGCTGGGCATCAACAACAGATTGGTGAGAGAAAATCATCAAAAAATGAAAACTTATGATATCGAGAGCCATCCATACATCCTTTTGCAGTCAAACATTCGATAAAAATCAGAATTCTGTAAATTCAGGCGAATCGCTCCGATTTTTGAATATTAGGACAGTACATTCCCCCTCCTCATGCGAATGAAAGTCAAATCAAGTACTAACAAGCCATGTGCAACTCAACGTTACCATTTAAATGAATAAAAGCTTAGCGCCAACTCACCACTCAGCCGGATTCCTAGTAACTAAGCGAATCTTCTATTAACCGAATACAGCAGCAAAATTCTACTTGAGTAGAAATTTCCTTCTCATCGATCGCACTAAATTGAAGCTTTCGGACACCACTCGTATTAAATTTCGAAGCCTGTATGAGCGAAAAGAAAGGCGCCGTGCAGGGCACCGATATCGGAAAGGTGCACGCGACGCTCGCGATGCAACTCGGACCCGTGCAACGCAGCCCTACTTTCCTCCTTACTGTTCGATTGGGACAGCTTCCGCGCATTAGAGCGCGATTAATTTTGGAAATCGAGGAACGCTCCACTTTCAAACGTCATCACCCCACTGGCTGTTATCTATTCCAATCCGTCATTTTTCTATCTATAAGAAGCAAAGCTACATCTGAGTCATCTGGTGAATCGTTAGGGATTCTTCTGGGACAACAACTGGCTTTTTCTGCTTTGGAAGCAGAATGCTTTCGCAATCTGTGCACCACGCAGTGCCAGGCGAGGAAGAGAGGGCGCCTTAGGCTCGTAACAGCATCGTGGGAGCAATAAAAGGAACAGAACGATCGATACCCCATTTGGCAACCATTTATCTTTTTCCACGATAAAATGGAACAGTTTCCTTAATTCCACTCAAATGCCTCAGAAAGAGGCTGAGTAAATTCCACATACACGGCCACATTACATGATGGGATCCTTTCAGTGTCAGTGTCCGGAGCAGAATTGGAGCATTTCATGCGTCCCGCAAATCAGAAATGAACTCTGAGACAAAAAAAACTTTCAAGAGGTACTTGACGACAAGCGTGAGTGCAACTGGTAAACGTGAAAACAGTTTGCGGCAATTGAGAAAGTCACTTTGACTCTTCAACTTTCCACTTTCTCACAGCTCTGTGAAACTGGAGGCGCTCACTCGGGGCCGAACACTTAACACGCCGATGTTGAGTATAGTTACTAGAAGGACACTTTAACTGTTTACAATATTGCCACGATTTCAAATGCAGAAATAATGAGACGATTCAGACCGGCCTACTGTTGTGGAAAATACTATGAGCCATCCGTTTTCTATCAAGAACGGATTGAGTCAGTGATACTACTCTTCCAGAACAGTCCAGTACCAATTAGTAGTAGCACAGCTGGTTGGTTGAATGAAAACCAAACTAACACTGTTCGATTTCTACAGATTTAGTATGAAGCAACGTCGTAAGTCATTGTTCGCCTATTTCATTTTCACGATAGAACTAAATGCCGTTTCAGCTCCGAATAAGTGAGTAGAAAGAATCGAATTTTCACAAATTTGTCCCTACGGGCAGATTTTTAGTCAGAGGAATGGAAGGTAAAATAGGGACACATGCACATAGACTTCTAGTTACACAGTCAATCCTGGGACTGAGAAGTTTTGGGATACCCAAACAACCACATTTGCTTTATAAATTATGTAATGGGAAGAAATCTAAGAGCACGATATGTGGTACTGCCAACTGCTATCAATGTCAATGGCAAATAATGCCCCGAAAATAGCTCAATGAAGGCTTCAAGTTCACTAAAGGCCGATAGACGGAGATCGTTATTGTCTAGGCTCTTGAACGCCATTTGGGAACGTTTTCTGCTCGCCAGCGATACATATCCTGTCTTCGTGGACAATACCTTCTAATCAGATGACAATTTGTAGAACCAACGTGATCATAAATTACATATTCAATCTATAAAAAAGTGGAGAGAGAACACCACTATTAAATTAGAGAACCTGATCTATCGTGAACTACGTAAGTCATTTCAATCCAATAACCTTGAAAACCGCGACTCCATCATTACAGCTATGAAATTTCATGTAAAATGACGGAGGAAAGGCAAGGAATCAATCTAATTGTTTGAAAATTTTGATTTGTAACACCGTTCGCATAAGAGAACTGCAAAGGTAAGAAAATACAAAAAGAAGCTTTAAAAAATTTACTATGAAAAGGCTCACAGTGGGCATAAGTGCTGGACGGATTCTATAGTCTTTTTTATCACCCCTATTAAGAGAGGCAAATTAAAAAGAGATGACAGTTACTGGTAAAACCGTTTGACAGGAATGATGGCATGGAACTGCAGCCTACGTTTGAAAAGTTAAAGCTTAGCCTAACTAGATGCTCAGGGCACGACACCGAATCTAGAGCTCGAAGACGTTTTATTGAATCAGAACCTGACCGAACCCACCTGTTGCTGTTGGATCTCTTTCAGCTTTTCCGTCAGTACAATGAACTTCTGCTTCGCCAATGGTGACAATTTCGTGGAATGATTTCGTAGAAATGTCATCATAATCGAAAACGTTTCTGGAGATAGCGATTGGCTTGTCGCTGGCACGAAAAGCCGTCGTTGTAGCTGTGCTAAGACATTGTCGACAAGAGGATCCTGAAGTTACAGTAGTCATCCAGTAACTTCTGAATTGATACCGGAAAAACTCACTCCTAATTCTGCAAACTTGTCTTCCAACCATTTATCCAGTTTCAAATAATCCCGTTTTGATGCTAAGAGACCCATTTCGACAATAAAGGGCACATGAGGACAACTGAACAACTCAGCAAGGCCACCCGGTTTCAGCTCATTTGCAATCTAATAAGCAACTTTCAATAACTGACAAAAGAAAAGAGAAAGTAATAAAAAAGATAATAAATAGTAGAAACATAAACGGGTTGCAAAGCACTCACATCCAGAATTCTAGCCAGTCTTTGCTGATCGTCAGGCGCTTTGGAGTGAAATGTCAAGAACGCGTTGATAATCATGTTGTGGACTGTCGCGCGAGGCAGAACCTGTATTCGCTGATGAGTAATACATAAAGTTATTAAAAATCTTTCGTGCAGTCATTCCAATAGTTTTGCCACCACGACAGACCGTGGGTGGAATTTCCTTCACGGTAGATGGATACATTACTGTAGGATATCCCTTACCCTCTTCAACCCCAAAAGGAGAAGCAAGGAAATCGGTTCATACTCGATCTTTTTGTTTCGAGCTGTGAAGCATTGGAATGAGGTGCGCGTAGAATTGCTTGGCAGGGGTTTCAAGGTCAAATTCTTTACAAAAGTATCAATGGGTTTCAGCAGCGCAGTGACTAGAACTCATAAAGAAGTACGTGTTCAATATGGGCGGGGAGTCCAGCTTCCATATATAGTGAGCAAGCAGGAGGTAACCAGATCACTGGAAACCCCGTGGAGGTTTGTTTTCAGAAAATTCCTAATCAAAAGCTGAGCAACAGCAAAATTTTTATCAGATACTTTCCGCAGAACCCACTATTTCAGCTTTTTCAACTGCTGTTCTTTAAAAGCACTGGCGTGAATTTCGTAGAAAGCATGGTCTATTACCCGGGCATAAATTTACTTCTAACAAAGTATACGTCTCTAGGAAAGAAAAGATCCAACCAACAAAAGGGGACCTGCCAGCATCGTCAGACTTTTCAAGAAGAGCAAATGGAAATGTAAAAGATGCTCTCTTGAAGAAAAGAGGAAATAAAGAAAACATGTGATTGAATATTGCAGGTCACATACAAAAAAAGTAGTTTTCGTTACCTCACTGTTCCATATTGCGTTGAGCACCGATACGGCATTGGTATGATGAATGATAAACACTGGAAGCACCATTTCGATGAATTTCTGCCGCAATTCTGTCATCGGTGGCTAGAAACATAGATAAAAACGTGATGTAAGTTTATACTATTTTAAACAAAACAGTGCCAGCAGACAAGTGAGCGAACCGCACGGAGCGGCCTGAGATAATATCGTATATTCAGTCCTGGTTTACAGAGCTATCACTTTTGAAGCAAACTTACAAGTAAAAAAGTTTCAGCAGCATTCATATATGCAAAGTTGCGTATAATTAATTATATGTGAAAACTGAGAAAGTGAAAATCTGGGCTTAGGGTCCATGAACGATGCAACACTAAATTCTCAACCCAAATTGCCCTTCCCTTCTCAAAACGCAAACAGCAGTGCTTGAACTTTCTACAAGAATCGCAGATAGCGCTCTCGCAGACCAAGCTTGGGAACTTTCTCAACTGACTAACTCACTACGAGATATTGCCCATAGGCTAATGTCACCTTAGGTAATTTCACGTTTTGTAACAAAGCCAACTTTTATGTAGCAGTGCTCATCCCAACAGAAGACTGGACCGTGAGATTACAATGATTCCCACTTGTGAGGACAATGGCTTCCAAACTGCTTCGCGCAACACCGATCTGATACCTACATACATAGTGTACCTCCTCTAGGCTCAGAAAGCCTGGGATACAGTAGGGCTAGTTAATAAACATTAACTCAGCTGAAACCTACCGGAACCTGGAACAAAGCCAACAACACCACATCCGGCCACTTTTCTAGAGCACCATGTAACAATCGAATGGCCGTAGTTTGTACATTTTGTTCACCAGCCATCGCCAACAGTAACTCCGTCAACTCCACACAACACCTGAAGGACAATTATAGTAAGAAATCAATGGCAATAACTGGTAAGATCTTGCACGTACCATGGAGCTAGCAACCGATCACTGTCATCAGGTGTATTCTTCAATACACTGATGGGGACGGCTCGATGAGGATAATCGGCTATACAAAACACATCTGGATTTTCAATCATTGACGAGATTAGTGATAACTGAGCTTCCCTGCAAGAGTTCACAGTTTTTTGAGAACAAATTCAAGAGAAATTGTCTAATGTTATGTAAATAAAACGAGATCTCTCAGTAGGAAAGAAGAACCAAGTATCGACACGTGGGACGTAGATTTACGAAAGTCAGTATAAAATGGGCGGAGCACAGTAATCAAGTAGGTGATGAGCAAAAGGGCACATCGGAACAGACGAAAGGGTTTGCCTGATAAATGTCTAAAAAATTAGACCTCACGAGTGTGGCTCGCTTGAAACGTAAGGCTCTCAAAACCTGTCTCACTTTCATGCGAGGACATAATGCCGATGTCAATGGGTGAACTAATTTTGTAACAATTTTATCCCAAAGAAGTAGCATCAAAAACCATCAAACTTGTAAAACGTATAAACATAATTGTAGAAACGATCCAGAGGAACGTAACACCCGTAAACGTCCGAGTTTTGAGAAATGATCTATAAAACACGATTCAAGCAGTACCTGCACCGCCATTTTGTATACAATTTATTGATAGGAAATGGTTTATCCCGTAGTCCAGTCTTTAATGCATCGATCAATGTAATAAGTGATTGACGTCGAGTCACCAACATTTGCACATCATCTAGCCGATCAATAACTTCACACCAGTCCAAATTGGGGTTCTAAAAAATGATCTGAGCGACTTCAAGCCACACAAATAGTTTTAAGAATCTCTATTTCAGATTTCAAGCCTCACCATCTCATTGACCACCGTTGCAAACACCTTGCCATTCCACGGAGGATCCTCTGCCACATCCAGGTCNGCGCCCGTGCAGAGATCTACAAATAACACTGCCAGACCCAAAAGCGTAAATGTCATCGTTTGCTCATATGGTATTTTTTGCTAATTCGATTATGAATTATCGCGCTTTGCACTTGGAGCAAAGCGCGATTGTGTGCGATACAAGCTACGATAGCAAAATATAACACTTTAGAATTGAAACATCAAAAGGACTCAGATAGAACGTCACGCAATTATGATCGCGCCGTGGATACGTTGGGTATGCAAGCTAAACCCAACACTAAGAAAAGAAAATTACGCGATAAGGGGATCTCGCCGCGACGATTCTTGTGCAGCTTTGTTAGCAGCAAACATACCAATTTGTACACAGAATTACAGTAATGGAGAACTGAAGTGGTACAAAACAGACCTTTCGAAGCTTGCATGTCGCTTTGCCACCCTATTGGGACCACCGTCCAAAAACGAGATCAACGTCAACGCAACCGTCGATGGCGTGAAACAAGCTGCTAAAATGGGAAAAATTTGGGAGCCGGAGATTTATAATCTTTTCAGGGGTTAAGGAGTAGGCAAAACAATTGAACGAACGTTCAGTCATCGTCATATCATGTAACCGATTTCGAAACGTCTCCTCGGTCGCTGTACATGAGCTACCGGCTCCCTGAACGACTCCTACTAACAGCATGTTTGACGACTCAAACAGCGCTCTTTTTGCTGCCTGAAAAATCTTGCCAACACTATCTAAAAGATAGACATCATAGATGTTATACCAAAAATTACCGAGTTATAAGTTCCTGTAGCGCACAGCTGCTCGACTTGAGTTATCAGCGACTCGTTGTCGACTTCCGCCGAGAACTTAGCTGCTTTCGCTAGCACTTGTCCAAGATACGAGTTGAAAATGTGCTTCTTGTCTTCAGTGATATGCTGAAAGTATAAAAAATGTTCGTCCAGGTTGAGGTCTTGAGAGGTTCAAGGAAACGGTCGTGAAAGGCGTTCACTTCGAGAATCCTTATGAGGTCATCCGACCATAAATCGCGCAGTAGTAAGATTGTGAAAAGATTATCCGCCTTCAGAAACGAAAGACCACAAGGAAAGAGGGAAGGGATAGAAGTAGAATCGGAGGCAAAAATGCATTCTATATGTAACGCAAAGCTTATCTAAGTGGCTGGATTGGAAAGAAGAGATTGAAGTAAAGCCAACCGTAAAATACCTGACGGACCTGTGAATATTTTTGAAAATTTTCCAGTTAAATATGGACTAGAATCTACAACCTCAGACACAATATCTTCCCAAATGTATTATTTCCGAGGTGATTTCCTAAATAACAGAGCCTGAGGGCTCGTTGAGTATTCCGGTGCCTCCTCGCAGAATCTCCAACAGCATGAAAAGATTGCGTAATGTTGCACTTCAAGTGAATACGTAATACTGCACTTTTTTGCACAGTAGTGTGTACGCTAGTTTTTAACTTGACCGCTTTTGACTATTTTTAACTCCATAAAACTGTATTGCTTTAGTTTGGAAGAGAAAAAAGTGAGTTGGAGACTTGTTGACTACTAAACTCGTAAACAAAAGTACTGTCTTACTTTCAGTCATTCTAGAACTCTGGATCGGAAATTAACTAGTGACAAAGGACAATCAGAATGGGAATGAGGAGAAAAAATCATCCAGGATCTCAAAACTTTCAGCATATGTTGGACCACCACAAAAAACGCAAAACCTCTACACGAAGCAGATCGAGAACGAGGAATGTGAGCTAGTGGTGCGAGCGGTTGCGAAACGGCCACTACAAGCACAACCAAAATAGTGAAGGGCGTTGGGCTTAACTTATTTGAGACAAGTGATCAAGACAAACAGTTTTTGGGACATAGCGCATGGCAAGACAACCATCTGAAAATAGCCGCACGCTGTCAGCAAACCGAGTCTAATGCTGTACAACAAAATTACAACCTTACTTTATCCGATGGATGTGGTGGAAGTTTGTGGCAAATTAACCTAACTTCGAAGAAGAAACAGTTTCAAGCAGCAACATAACCCAAAATCAAATATTAGGTAGCCATTTAAGCAATTGTAGGAAAATGTAGTTGCCTTTTTGCCGCCTAATCCGGGAACGAAAGAACTACTTATTCAGTATATAGCGGTCATAAAATACCCAGGTACTTGGCCTATAAATATAAATCACTTTGAGAATAAGGTAGTTACCCTTTAGATGAATGTTAGAACTACTTAGAAAAATACGCCCATTAGTTACCATACTAAGTGAATGATACAAGGAATCCTATATGGACTTACATTTTGACGTTCATTATCAAGGTCCGTATTCCCCGAATCCTTCAAACAACGGAATGTTTAGTGAGTCAAGTATGAATAATCAGATGGTTCTTTCAAGAGCGAGGTTAACCATACTTAACTCAGCCCATCAAAAGCGTAAGCAAAAAACGGCAAAGGGCATTATAGAAAACAAGGTTCTCGAGAACAGCCATTAAATCTTTCCCAGTGGTGTTTCTATGATTACGCATTCAAAATCCAAAAGAAGACAGTAACTATACTAAGAAAAGGTATACAGTATACTCACATTTCTCAAGAACGTCACCAACGGAGTGCCAACGTCGTAGTCACCCTCAAGGTACGCTGTTATGCAACGAATCACAAATTCTGTCCGGATTACAGTCTTCTCCTTAGCTGCAACATCAATCATGACTACCCAATAAAGTATTACTGTTAACAGCTACTGAAAGAGAATCGATTGTTGAACTCACTAGATACGATAATAACGAAGAAATTGTGAAGTAGCTGACCAATAAACGGATTAATTAGGCTGGCCGCTTTACCTGGAGTGACGGATACCCAAAAAAGGCACAACTGAATGTCAGATGCAGAAGGGAGTACCTGAAATTGCCCAAAATCTGTAGCTAAACGAGTAGCTCATGGTGGAACCCACACTCCGGAGACACTCGGACCCTTGCCTAGCCATAGGCCATTTTACGGACCGGAGTCAACTGTCGCCCTATAACCATCTCTACAACCGCGCTTCGACACTTTTCGTAGGGAGCCAGGGCATGCCCACCCAGTCATTCCGCAATCAGTTTTCCCTAAGCATGAACAAATTCTGTAACAAATCTATATCATTGTCACCCTATTGGCAAGTTATTTGCGGATTTTCAGCGTCGGACAGGATTCGAACCTGTCCTTCCAAAGTACGGGCTAATTTTCCATCAGTTTTGTCCATAACTCCCCCATTTTATAAGACTTTCCCGTCGCGTACTGCGGTGAAGTAACAGCAGCCCATAGAAAAGATCAAGTGAAATCTATGCTAACTTCAAATACGACACACAATGTACAATTGAGGGACACGGTGAATCATCCGGGCGAACTACCGCCAAGATGTTCCGCGCGCATTTGGCGGGACCTCTGTTATGGGCTGTGACGTGTTATGGGCTAGAGAGCTTCGCAAAATTTCAAATCTCAGGCTCTGCATTTATAGTCTGCTAGTAAGCAGTCGACGCGCATTCCACGTAAGCCCCATCGCGCCTGGAATGGATCGAAATCGATACTTAGACTGAGGCGCCGACAGAGCGTAATCAAAGTAAGCGCTCAGCAGGATGGCAACGCAAACTCTGAACGGAGCCAGATCGACAATACGACAATGAAAGCTATGGTGCCAGTAATAACCATCCTACCATCAAGGTCACCGTACGACAAATTATCCATAGTTTTACAAAAGAGCATCGCCACACAAGCCGTTAAATGCACAAAAGTTGTTCTGAGAATTCAGTATGGCAAAAATATGAATTAGAAAGAAGACCAAGTTTATCTGCGGGAGGATAGCTGATATCGATTAGTGCGCGATGATCTACACATTCTGATCGATAATCACACTCGTAATGAACTAAATGGTAGTGACGACAATCCCAAAAGCAAAGAATTTTGGTGCCATATTTCATCAACGAGGAAGGGCGGAGTTCCGCAATTCCTGACATGCAAAACCATAAACCTACTGGTCGCACCGCGACCATGTGAATACGGTAGGTAGATTGAAGATGATTTCAGATAAGAGTCTATAAAACGATTTAAACTCGAGAAAGTATAATATTACACTCAAAATAGGGCCTTTTCCATTTAGGGACAGAGGATTAGAACCAGTTCGAATTGATATGACCACTGTTTCTCAAAATTTTCAAAATTGGAGATTTGCATGATGCTTAAAGTTCCAGAATTGTTCCTTTTAGCATTTCTGACCACTTAATAATGACCATCGGAAGCCTTGCCCTCCTGATTGAAGATTACAGCTTTGTGCTTACAGAAAAATCTGTTATTATCATATTCAATACCCGACGTGCAGTTTTTCTGCTTCCTGTTAATTCGTCTTTTTTTCCTCCAATTTTCCTCTTTTGCTAACCAGCGGAATTCGGTAAGCGCTAAACTCCGCTCTTGCCGTCCTACGTAAAACACCCTGGGATATTCTTGATTACTGTACAATTAAATAGTTAATTAATAGAATAGATATAAAATGGGCTTGACAGATGCGCCGAAAACTTGAAAGCGTGTTCCGAAGATTTGGTAATTTTGGTTCTAATGATGTTGAATAAGATGAAATGTTGTCTGCTAAAGTCTTATTTTGTACCTAAGGGAGAAGGCTGCACCCTAAGCGGGTACTATACGCTGATGTAGAGTAGGATACATACAACCAAAATTGTAGTATTGTTATCATTACAGTAATCCAATCTCACACAAGGTTTACCGATCTCAGTTTATTAAACAAAAGAATACCTTGGACGAGACTGACTGGACAAGTAGAGGAAGTTGGCTGTCGTTATTGGCTTCAGCGTCCTGAAGTTCAGCGCTGACGCGATCGGTAAGCGCGTTGAATATGTGCCTAGCGCCGGCGAGTTCGAGAACGCTTCGACTTGGTTGTTCTTCAGTGGCAAATTTGACTATCTGAATGGCTATGGACAACTCAAACACAATGATGATTTTTCTCTGAGTTTCCAATTTTTCAACTTTCACAAACCAAAAAAATAAGCTGCGCAGCAGTGGACTCGTCAAGGGATCTTCGGGGTCCGGCCGGCAAAGGCTGACCGAAACCGACGGCGGATAGAAGTACACGAGCACAGTGCACCGCCGGCGAACCACAGTCCGCTCCACAAGTAACAAGTAATCTCTGAAGATAATAGAGATTCTGAATCAACCCAGAAGTCTTCGTTAGTTGGCCAACTTGAGAAAAAGGAGGGCGTAGAACATTACAAGATATAAGCATAGAACGAAAAGAAAATAATCAGATTAATTAGGAGATATAAAGGGTAAGGGGAGGTTAGGGAAAGTAATGATTTGATCAGAAATCCATTAGCACTATCATTCCAAACAACTTTTGTCTGGCCTATTGATCGATAGCATTTTTTCAGCCACTTTTTCAAACCACAGATAAGAATCTTAGATCTCAACCAGGATCCTTCAGAAAACTCAAGAACTTTGCGAACTCTAGCCAATAAACAAATGAAAAACGAGGTTTTCTACACAGCGATGCAATTAAAAATAAAACTCTGCCTTTATCAGAGTCATTCAAGTGCTACCAACTCACCTGAAAAACGAACTGAATAGATTTCTGTGGATATTGAGTGAAATCGGTGAGTAGTGAATCAACGTAGCTAAGCGAGTATCGCGCTGGAGATGATAGGCCGATCGACATACGAATACAGCACTACGTCAATTTTGAACCACCTCATTCACCTTCGGGATTCCCTGAAAAACGCAACATTCATAACCTCAGTCAAAAATGCAAGCATTGAATATGAAATTCTCCGCAACTTGTTTCCAGACGATAAAAAGACAAAACGATCAATACCCTCAGCTAATTTTTGGAGCACGCCGTGCACACGAGTCCCATTGAGAACTGTGGGGACGTTTGAATGAAAATTCGATCTACAGAGTGATCTAGGCCGGCAAATTACGGCCCTCTCAGACACAGCAGATAACAAGCCAACTCCGAGGAGATGAGGCTTCATTTGAAAAGCTCAATCCATTTCGGATTTCATCCGCAGTAGCAACGTCATTTGGCGCAGGCCAGCTTCTACTACACTTTCAAATAAAAATAAAAGGTCGGAATAATACTTCTGAGTTTATAACTCCCTTTCTTTGCCCTGACTGTTATCCCTGCCTAAAAACCATCGAACTTCAAGAAAATAACACTTAGATCAATTCATACTGTGCAGAAATTAGCTACGATTCATTCGATTACGTGGTTAATCTTTTCGACCAAATTCGTTGAAGCATCTTAAATAAAACTTTTGGTGAGGCAAGTTTCTGATTCGAGTCGGAGAGCCTCTTCGAAGCGATTCATCGCTCAGAATTTCTGACTTCAACAGATTTCAAACAGCATTTTCTACTTCAAATCGCCAGCCAAACATGAAAACGCTTAGCAACTATAAAGAAAACAGCATTAGGAAACTTGTAACTATAAAAAATTTTAAATATCAAAGCTAAAAATTCTGATTCTAGCCGTGCCAAAACTAAAAACACGGTTTTTCCCCTATCTCACTTGATTGCCCACAACTTGAAACTACTTGACCTACAATTACCGCATGTTTATGACAAATAATAATTGAAAAGGGGATTTCGAAGGCAGCTCAGGTGTTACTTAACTGGGTGCTGTTGCATACCATTTCTGGACCTCTTAATAGCCTCTGCCAAATCTAGATACAATAATTTCACATATATTTGTTGTAAAATACACTTTTACATAAAGAATGAAAATCTCAGCGGCCAAGAGACTGGGGCATTTTGGAGCTGAAGATTGCAGCCAAAATAAGCATGCAAGCTGGCTTACATCATTGTGCTCAACGACTTCCGGTTAGGGGCAGATGGCCATAAACGTGCCAACACATTTATGAACTACTTAACTATCGTCTTTTTTTAAAAATTATGTACGAAAACACCACCAGCTCAACCTGATGGATAGACGAATAAATATTGATGCTAATCAAATGACAGATTCGAACAAGAGGACCCTTCCTCAGATAGGTTCCATAGAATACTTCAGATGATGTCATAATTGAATGGGTGCGAATGGTGGCTCAAAGTGAAAAGGTTCATAAAGTTACGGTAAACCCTTCTAGCTCTGTGAGAAGGAAGAGATAGCGAATGGTATTCTCACATCAATCGCGACGGTTTTTACAAACAGTACGGTAGATAAGGAGGATAATAACCATATATAATGACACAATTAACATTAATAATAATGATAATAATAATAACAATAATAATATAGTGACAGATAAATTTATTAATTAAGTCAATTAACTTCTCCTAAAGAAAAAATTGTAGCAAACCTCACCAAAACAAGAACAAAACTGATCAAGGACAATTCTATGTGTAAGACGAGAACATCGATTATTCACTCATGTAAGAGGCGAGATGCTCCTGAAATGGTGGTGCGGGAGGCTGTTTACTCAGAAAGGGTGGAGCCTGTCCTCAAGAAAAAAACAAGCTCACAGACTTGTTTTTGTCCGAAATTTCAAGAGCTGCGCACAAAGCATTTCCTTCTCCAGCGACAACGGCATAAAGAAAGGTGCGGAGAAAAGTTGAACGGCTGGTTTGAATGGAATAACCACCAACATTAAGCTTATCCCCTGCTAATAACAACTGCACTAACCAGAAAAGCAATAAGCAAAGATATGGCTGCATTGTCACTTATTCGAAAGATAAAAACGCAAGGAAACGGGACGCTTATGAATTGTATAGGTATGGCTTCCTGACAAAGTTTTCCCAAGATATCAGATGTAAGTACCACGCCCTCTGTTACAGACTCTTTGATAAATCATAACTAAACGACTAATTGTCATCTAGGGGTAATTCTAATAGCATGAGCCTTCATCAAGAAAAAATAGCCAACAATGTAAAATAAGAAAAAGCAAAAAAAAAAACATGGTTATCTTGCAATTGAAATGATTAAAAAGTGATATCAACGTTCTCACCAGAAAAACTTTTCATGATATCAACGTTATCACCAAAAAAAACTTTTCAATCCCAAGAGTCCTGATTAAGTTCGCTGGACAGTGGAGGTTTCAGTGAAAGAAAAACTTCGAAAAAGCCGATCCGTAGGAACATAAACGAAGTTAACCTTCTAAAATCCGTTTACAATGACTAAAGTAATTGTGTAAACAATCCGAAACTTGACAGTTGAATTTTCTTGGGAACAGAGTAGCATCTTGGGAAACCAAAAGTATCATGAGAGTTGGTGGAGATGTTAAATGAGTCATACATCTACTGTAAATCCTTTACAAAACCCGTGTTACACCCAACGCCCAGTTATGCGCGTATCCCTGCACAATTATGAGAAAATTAATTACTATGACCAAATTTCTGATGGATTTCAATCAGTATGACTACTTCAGAAGTTATATAATAGAGAAGCGCCAGGAATGTTGTGAAGAGAAATTTACTATAAGATTGATGAGCGCATCCCCAATTGTACCAAAGAAAAAGCTGCTCGGACGCAGACCTCTCAGAACCTGATCGGCAGTTCAACAGCTCTGGTTGTTTTGTGATGTTGATGATTCGACAGGACAGCTGGTGATTCAGAATGAGAAAACAATAAGTTGAGAATTCTAATCGTATCACTGAGCATGATAGGCAAAAAAAAGTAGCAGTAAAGGCATACTTGTATTGATCAAGCCCCATCACTCCCAGAGACGCATGATGCAACTATATGACCACTAAAAAGCAGACAACCAGCAGCTTTTCGAAACTTGTTGACGCAAGATATTTTTCTAACTTCAGTGTACGGTAAGCGATACTGTCCTGACTCCAAATCACAAGCTGTGAGGATCCAAAGCACACACTTCCACTTGATCAAAAAAGGTAACCCCGAAGTAATCAAAATTTTGACTAAATTAACGATAAGAAGTTCTGAAGGTACATAAAAACTGTATAATCACTCTTGGGATCGGGCAAAATTATATATATCAGTACGAAAAATTATTTCCTGAAAAAACCCGGCGCATAACAAATACTGACAAGATATTTTTTAGCAAATTTCTGTGCTCGTCACATCGGCCCTATAATCTTCCTACTTCCTAATATGGTACAGTAAAGTGAAGACGAAATACGAAAAGGTGCAAAAGGCTTGAAGCTGATTAGTCAGGACCCAGGCGCTCGATTAGCGCAATACAGCAGGTAGATGCAGCTGCATTCATTTGGAGCTAAAAGAACGACCCGAAAAATGGTGTCCGGGAAAATTGATCATGATCAAAGAAATAAATGGGAAAAGGAACAGCTGATTGACTACGAAACCCGAACCAAAGCTCAACAGCTACCCTACACAGCTTCAATAGTTATAAAATTGAAAAAGAATTTTGTAAATTTCAACTCCGAGCCTTCTCAATCCACTCAAGAATAAAAGTGAGGTGTAAAACTAACTTGTCAATAATCAAGTTGAAATCAAATTCTCACCTTGTGACCTCGCTCAAACAGCGGGACCAAGAAAATTTGTGCGAAACCCCGTAGGTAAGCCCTGTTCCTGCAAAATACAGATCGTCAGCAGCCGTTCATTCTTTGATGTCGATGGCTGCACAAGAAACAGCGCAAACACTACAGATCGCACGTGTGGCAGCGAAAAGAACCTCTCCACTCGGAAAATCAATGGGCGGACAGCTGATAGAAAAGTCATAATGCATATTCCTTACATCTATCATCGAATCTTCTTCTCAAGGTAAATCAAACCAGTTATATGACATAATTCCCAGCATACGCTGAACATTTGTGTTTTCATCACAAGCTATCAGACAAAAACATTATCGAATTTTTATTTCTGTACCAGAACCATTCCCCAGTACACATCCCTGGCTTCGTCACCGAAAAAATCAAGCCTTAAATTTCTCAGTTCTGGGCCCTTCAGCCATCGATTACCACGTCCTAAGCCATTTCGTTTTGATTCGATACAAAAATGATGCGTTGATCAAATCACTCAGTTGCCAAATTCCAAAATAACACAGCAGGTGTAGATCAGGGGCAAAATCGATCAATAGAACAAAGGGATCCTAGGAGCTACCCATGTTCCGATCTCAGAAAGAAGCCAACGGGAACCACCAGGATCAACGAGCCGTTCTTTTTTGGAACGACTCGAGCTGAGTCGCTCCAACCTTAGCATTTCTTCGACACCCTATTATTATCTAGCTTAACGGCNTAACACAGCAGGTGTAGATCAGGGGCAAAATCGATCAATAGAACAAAGGGATCCTAGAAGCTACCCATGTTCCGATCTCAGAAAGAAGCCAACGGGAACTCGAGCGGGTACCACCAGGATCAACGAGCCGTTCTTTTTTGGAACGACTCGAGCTGAGTCGCTCCAACCTTAGCATTTCTTCGACACCCTATTATTATCTAGCTTAACGGCTCCAACCAATTCAAAGCGCTTTCGTCCGGAATCCCTTCCTCGCTACCCAGAGGGTGTTCCAACCCGCTCTCCGAAGTGTTTCGTACCCAGTAAATTGTTTTCAATTTTTTTAAATCGATGAACCCTTCTCCAGCAATAATGTATCATACACATTGGAATAAGATCATTTACCAGGTATAAAAAATGATACAACATACAAATATACATGATTCACTTTGGCATTAAAATTTATTTACGTAAGAGGGTGTAGTAACGAAAAAAAAAGAGTAGCATACACACCATTTAAACTCCTAGGTACGGTCATTGTTCAAAGCAAGTATTGCTGATAACAGTTACAGGATTGATAGATTCAGAAGAACCTACGAGCGCGTCACCCACACTTCAACAAATGTGCGAAAAGAATCAGAAATTCAGCGATTTTTCTCCGTTATGAATAAACAGTATCAGGAAACGTCATCAAAAACACATAAAACGTACACACTAAAAACACTCCACGCTGACGATTTGTCAGTAAAATGGGATCCTTATAAATCATCCACAACAACAAGGTGGTTTGAGGTTCAAAATTCAGAACTAACTAAACTTGACAGGTATGCGACTTGACGGCATTTCGATCAAGGGTGAACCGGATGACGGTCAGAAACAGAACGATTGTATTGTACATCATCAGGCCTACCGAAGTTTACTTGCTCGCTGATATAACGCATCTACCACTTCGCCCATAGCATGGATTGTTTTCAGGGCTGTTTCGTATGTGACATCAGGAGGTGAAACATCGTATACGATCAGCATGCCATCACCTTGATGAAGGGATCCACTGAACTTCCGATCCAAAATCATCTGCGACAGTTTCTTTTCCACCTGAAAGATTGTGTTGAAGAAAATATGGCGAAAATAGAACATTAAAAGAAATTAGGTTGCTATTCGGGAAATCAACAAAACTCATCTTGAACCCAGAAACTCCTACTCTGATTGTAATCCTAAATCGTAGGAGACACCCGAATAGACCGATTCGAACAATAGATAACATAACTCGGAGGTTCCCATGTGACTCACATCCCATGCACCTTACAATGGGAATTATGTCGTTAATATCCACATTACTCACCTTCTCACGATCGATACCAATACTGCTGGCAATGTGATCGATTTGAACATAGGAATAGGGCTCAATTATGCGACAGAGATCCTTCTCCAGCATTCGTTCGCTGAGTGAGTTAAAGTGTTTCCGTACGACAGGATCCATCTTAAACATTCATCCATTGGCCATTAAAAATTCCAGAGACTTTTCATAGATTAAACTTGATTGAATGAGAACAAATATCTACCTGCAACTCCTGTGGGTAGGCGCCGAACGCGGTATTAAAATCTGCCAAACTCCTCTTTTTTGCTGCAGCAGCAATTGCTCGCATTGCATCCAAATCCGTCCCTGAGTACTTCAGGGCCAGCTTACCCGTCAGTAACGTATTGACATCATCTGGTACGTCAAGCATTACCTAGAACAAGGTACTGGACGTGTTTGAGAGGTTGCGGCTACAAAACGCTGATGGCTTCAGTTTCAGTCTACCTCGAAATTTATACAAAACAGCTTCACCTTACAAAGGAGCATGTACTTCAGAGATAAAAGAGCCAAGTTTTTCTCATCGACTGAATCGTATCCTTCGAAAGCCTCGTAGAAGTAGGAAAACGCTGTTTTGAAGTCTTTCTCGTCAGCGGCATGGAGAATTCCGGATTGTAAATCCAAAGCAGCCTGTGTAGAAAGGGTTGGGAAAAATCGCTTGTTTAAACAACTGTTGTGTGACCAGATATTTCATTTACATTATCAAAATGAAACTCGAAGACATACCTAATCATAAAATCGATATATAATATTCCGGATACCCTTCTTCAAATAGCCAGAACAGAGAAAAACGGCAGAAAAATTAATTAATCGACGTTTTGGCAAGAATTTACCTGCATCCTTGGTTGCACGTAAATGGCATTTGCTGTGGTACGAGCCCCGGTAAGTGACGCTCGAGCTCTGCCAATGTTTCCAAGGTGATAAAAGGCTTTGCTTTCTTCCAATTCCACTTCAACGAGTACATCCTTATCGTCAAGTTTCTTCAGTTCACGTATGAGGTCTGCAGCTAAAAGTCAAAAGGAATATAATCATTTCAAAACATCCACAACATTATAGGCCGATCTCACAAACATCAATTTTGAATGAAAGCAGTTTCAAGAAAACCAAGGGAGAAGGTAATGTTCAGCTACCCAGCGGCAGAGCTTGTGTGTATCTGTGGAGATCATTGAACAATCGTATCAGCCGAGCCTCAAGTGTTTGACGAAGAAATGTGCGGTTCTGATCCATCGCCCATTGTATACATTCTCGCACCAATTCAATCTGGAATAAAATATTAATGGAACATATTTCTAAATGCCCTTGGAAATATGATATGAAATGTGTTTTACAGAATAAATATTGTCCAAAATCAATAACCATCAAACCTTAATGTCCCCATCCTGATCGTCTATCATGAGACACAAGTCAACCAGATTTCGCACCAGTTTCGCAGCTTTAGCTTTTCCTAGAGAGACGAGGAAAGGACGAGTTTGCTCGATCATCTACAAAGGCAACTGCATTGTTGAAAATGGCCGACAACATTCACACGGAAAAATGCTTACTAATTACACAAAGAAGGTAGAGAATGAATAAAAGGGAAGTCAACGAACCCTTAAAAGCTTAACATAAGAACTGTCAAAAGCTTGAATTTCATACCTTTCTTAGTTCTTCCGTCTGTTTATTTTTCGCTAGCATATTTCCGAGCTCCATGATTGACTCCTCCTTCTTCTTGATATCGGCATCTCCTGACGCAGGTGTTTTCACTTAAAGTTGAATTAGGATTGAAGCGAGATTGACCATCTAATGCTGCATGCATTCAAGCTCCGTGCTACAGATTTGCTTGAAAATTGCCAGAAAACGAAAAGTAATTTTAACAAACCAAAATTAGTCAGATGACGGATAACATTTTGCTCGTTCTGATGAGGAAGAGACGTAATATGATCCATAACTGTTCCTCCTGACATTCTAGTGGTTTGACAGGTCGCACACGAACGAAGCTATATGGCTTACGAACGTTGCAAATAAGAAAACCTGTAACACTTCAAACTCTCACACTAGCTACTGTCAAACCTGTACTGCATGCATGATTATTACACAACGAAAATGTGATACAAACAAAAACGGCAAACAATTCTATCAAGCTATACAAATTAGCCGTTTATTGTTTCAGCATGTGAATGGTGGAAACGGTGAACTTAGAAGCATATTTATAGCAAAAATGCCGGATGTATAAAAATTGCCAGCCGAAGCAGTGATCTCTCGTTTAAATCAGCTACTGAGTTATCAAATTACCATATAGTTATGGCTCATTCGCTTTTATAGTTCACAACGAGTGGATCTAATTTCTCATCTAGCATAAGCACACTTAAACAAATGACTATATGTTAAGGCTAGCTGAACAAGGCTGATGCGAGCTCCAACTTTGTATTTCAAGCCGTCGTTCGATGATTAGTGGTACTTTGTTGGTTAAGTCAAAACACGCCATTTTTGTTTAATCATAAAAAGAACCGGTTATAAGCATAAACTCATATACTTGTAAAATAAACGACTATACAAAAAGAACGATATATGGATGGTAAGGCAGAAATCGGACAAATGAAGTTCATTACCACTGAATCAGTTACCACCCTAATGCTGATTATAGTATCCATGCTATGCCAAAAACACGAAAAACTAGTGTTTGATGTATTTAAACAGAGGATAGAAAAAAATTATGAAGAAACAGCCGTGAAATGTAACGCTTTCACAGTTGTGAAGAAAACCGTCAAAAAAGGTCATGAGAACTATAAGACCTCATAGAAAACAGGTAGCCGTACGACAAAAGAATAACCGACGAGGACAAAACCACCGAAGACTCACGAGATTGCGCCGATCAACTGAAAAACAACAGCTGCATGTTGTTCGAAAGCAGCCAGATGATATACATGCCAAGAACACATGTCAGATTCGCACGAGGCGAGATACTGTAGCTGTTGACATTTTGCCAAGACTTCACAACTTGCTTAATCTGACGCAATATTTTGCAAAATCAAATCATTATATATGTGGTTTTGCTTTTCTTCAACTGAGAGTGTTCTCTTCGTCACTTAGTTTGTTTTTGTTTACTACCTGGGCTTCAACTCGAGAACGCATGGAGATTTTTTGCCATTTTATTACCAGTAGACGACTGGTGCCGGTGCAAGTTTCGTAATCAACTCGTGAAGTTTGCAATTTTCTCCTTCGGTAAACCACTTCGCTTGATGTCATAGTTATTACTCAGCAAACACTTCACTTTGAAACGGGAGGCCCTTCGTTTTCTTTATAGGACCAACTTGCATTCATCGTAAGGCTGGCACTGTTTATTCAAGTATTTGGGGTTGAGTAATACATGCCATGCAGCAAACAAACATCCGTGCGCTAATCAATAGACAAAGTTACAAAGAGGTGTAGATTGTGATGGATGAACAGTAGGTGGAGGGGAGCAGGCGATACTTCAAGAAATACGATATTTTATGAAGTAGATGGATTGCTTCCACAGCCATGGCCAAGATGTTAAAGACTATTTGGCTGACTTCTTGGGGATTCTTTTGAGATTGAAATGTCACTTGAGTATCAGCCGGCTTTATCTTTGACGATAACATCCCAATCCCTGGCGAAAGCGTTATGATTAAAACTTCAGCCAACAAAATCGTTAAAATTTATGTGGTGGCAACAAAGGCGATTAAATCATCTGAACATATTCCAACTCTCATCGAAAATCATGGCGTATTTACGATTGGTTCCGTTTTGATAGGTCAGTCCGTGATCCATCCTGACCGTTAGGTTTTGCTTGGTCCTGCAGCATGACCGGGGTTTTTGCATCCTCCCCAGCTTCTTGAACCTTTTCGATGCGAAATTTAAGGGGCAAGGAGATCTGTACTGTTTCAGATATTATTTTGGTATTTGTGTAGACAACATTTGCAAAATTGTGTATGATATTCCACGTCGCTCTGAACTTTAGTCACCACTCATTTTCAATGGAAATATTCCGGTCGAGTGGAATTTTGTAATTGAAACGTTCCTCTGTTATACTTTCCCGTTTCGGTCTTCACAGTCGTCCAATAAATTTGGTTCCAAGTTGGATGAAAAATCATTTTCAGGGACCAACATCGCCCTCAGAATTCTTGGGTTGGACCTCGGCTTTTTTACGGACTTTGGCAGGGATTCAAATACTTTGTGTTGTTTTTTAATAGTATTTGATCTTTGTAAAGTCCAAAATGTCGGGGAAAGGAGAATGCAGTGCATGGGGTGGCAAAACCGCTTGGGGAAGGAAGGAAGAGGTATTTTCATTGTTAGTCTTTGCGATTTCATACCAATTCCGTCGACATTATATTATTATATTCAAGGATTGTGAGCCCATCGTTTCCTTTGTGGAGATAATGAGTGAAGATCTAGCTGAGACACTGAATGAAGAGGAACGTCGAAAGGAGCACGAATTTCTGAATGCCATCGCTGAAAGCGAAGCTACACCGGTACGCGTGAAGATATTTCGTTCTAGAAGACTAGCGGATTCAAGGATGATTCAAGTGATCTACTTTCTCAAGTTAGCCAAGTACAGTGATTTCTATGATATAGGTGTATAGCAATGATGAGGAGATGGCAAGAGAACTCCAGCGCCAGTTTGACCGTGAGTACGAACTCTCTATGATACTGGAACAGGAAAAGAAAGGAAAGGCAGCAGGTAACTTGCTTATTTTTCTTCTGCTCAACTCTTTCTTTACCCTCATCTAGAGGCTTCTCTAACTTCATCTTATACACTTTATATTAAAGTGCAAAGAGCTTTCAGCTACTGTGACGGTAACCCCAGATCGGTACTACCCTAAGACCGCCCAGTATTCTGACGTTTCGAGTGATGATGAAGACGTCAGACAGTTCGCAACTGATTTGCTCTACGCTAAGGTTCCTTATTTCTTTTTGTTTTCTCTTTATAATGACATTTTCATCCGTTTGGGTACACTGAGTGTTTGATAATTTAGCTCTAATTAAGTTAACCGATGACGTACCATCCCATAGCGGTCCGGTCTTCCGCAATGCTGGAGGGGATCTCGTCACCAAGCACGATGCAAATGTCTCAGCAAGACGAAATGCCGATAAAGCTATGAATGTGAGTAATTTGATAACGCATTCAAAGTGGAAGTGGAATTGCTTACCATCGCTGAGACCATTACCCCAGCTACATCACCTTCCCAAGTGGCAATCCATTGAGAACTAGTGTTTATCTTGAAATTCACGTAACGTTTTACGGGGGTCCTCACGCCACATCACCCTTTGTTTATTTGTTTTGGCTGTTTTATTTCGCTTCACATAGTCCTAAGTGTTATGTAAATATTCAGGATAAAGTCAACCTGGCATTCGGTGACATGAACCAGGAGCAAATCAGTAGTCGTGTTTTCAATTCTCTTCGTAATTTCTCCAAAAGCGAGACAAAGCGCCTACATAAGCTTAAAGACAAGGTAGGCTTCAGTGGTATCTATCTGGCTAAGTGGTTATTCTTCATCTTCACAGGAGGAAAAAGCGACTATCGAAACATCTATGGATGCAGTAACACGATTGCATCTGTTCAAATGGATAAATCAGGGGATCTTTGATAGCGTCGAAGGTATTATAGCTACGGGAAAGGTATAGTAGAGCCTGCTTTTATTAGTAGCACTACCGCCTATGTCCATTTTGCCAACGCTTGACACGAAACTTCCTCAGAAGGGATATGTTTAGGAGAGTGCTGTCTTGAATGCCATCAACAACGAAAGTGGTGAGAGATTTGCCATCAAAGTTTTCAAAACCAGCTTGACCGAATTCAAAAACAGGTGGTTTTTTTTGTTTTTACTTTTCTTGCTGACTTGCGTTATAAATAGGATCCTATTCAGGTCAGAATATGTGAAGGATGACTTTCGATTCAAAAACCCACGTGGAGTGCTGAAGATCTGGGCTGAACGCGAGTTCATGAATCTTTCCAGGTATTTTCGTTTTTTTCAATGCTAGAAGAACCCTCATAACTGAAGGCTAGACATCAGTGGGAATGTTTTTTTTGATAGATGAAATATTTACCGGGTTATCTGTTCCGTTATTTGATGATTTACCTTCAAGAATGGTGAAATGCGGACTGCCTTGTCCAGTGCCAGTCAAACTGAAGCGCCATCTCCTGCTGATGTCACTGATTGGTGAAAATGGAGCCGCAGCACCGCGTCTGAAGAATATTGACTGGGAATTTTCTACCATTGAAGAACGAAAAGATATCTTCTCACAAGTCATCGATGTAAGTTTGTCACAACACAAAAAACAAAGCACTCTGCTACCTTGGCTTTGATTTTTAGTTTATTTTTCTATTATGCCAAATTTTGGATATTTATAGATTATGAACCGAATGTATAGAGACTGCAGACTTGTGCATGGTGATCTTAGCGAGTTCAATTTGCTTTTATCGGAGGGAAAGGTGGTTTTTAAATAAAGTAAAGCTTATTCAGCGTTCGCTGGATTTGTTGTTTAGGTCTATGTGATTGATGTCTCGCAATCAATGGATTTATCACATCCAAGAAATCTTCATTTCCTTATCAGGTTAGCAAAGATTTTCTAATTGAATGATTGCCAAAATAATGCCTAGCACGGAATAATCCCATAAATCTGAATTTTGATCGGTTCTACCAAAAATTGAAAAAAAAAGTTATGAAACCAAAGCACTCTATCGTATGAAGAAGAGCTCTTGAATTACTCTGTGCTTCTATCTCATATTTAGATACTACAGACAGTATTATTGGCTGCTAAGCTTTTTTTCATTTTTTCAGGGATATCGAGAACGTCTTGGCATTCTTTCAACGCCTTGACATACCTGAATTACCAACGCCTGTGGCGTTATTTAATATGATAACAGATTTATCGATGAGCGAAGAGGGTTCGCTAATTGTACAGGTACTTTACCGACTTTTTTGTAATTGTTGGAGGATATAAGTGAACAAGACAGTCAGCCTTCAAACAGTGATATCATTTATGTTTATTAATCCTAGGTGGAACAGTTCTCCGAAGAGAATCGAGCCAACCAAGTAAACAAATCCAAGCCGGCTGATTTTGAATGGGCCGCTTACAATGCAGAAAGAAAGGAGTATCGTGGTGAATCACCTGCACGAGACTACAATTGAAAGGATGTTGAAAAGAGAAGAAAGTAGAGAAATTGTTGCTCATATAACGGTAGGATACGGTAGAGACCTGGCTGCAGTAGAGCGTTTAGTGAAGGAATCTTTCTGTAAACCTTTCATTTGGTTACTGAAATATTTGGTTCGCTTTTCATTGATTTCTTCGAGATTGAATATTATTTGATCTCAAAAATTCCACAGTTAAAGTAGGGGTAAAGAACGGGTTACAGAAAATTCCTTTACTTTATGCACTATGGGAGTCTTGTTGATACGGTTCTTATTGTTGTTGACAACTTGTTTTTGTTATCGGTGAAGTTTTTGAAACTTTTTCTATTTAGTATGAGAGGATTGTTCTTCAAATTCGGTAGTGTCGTTCAGGTGAAGAGGTTATGATGGTGGAGTAGAGCAAATAAATTATCTTTAATTTGGCTGTTGTCAGTAAACAAGGGTAAAAAAGCTTCTGAATCTAGAAAATCCGGTACGGTCTATAGAATAGTAGAAAGGAAAAGTCGAAGGCGTGGCTTATCCTGACGAAATTGATCATCATGCGCCGAGGTCAACCCGTTGCATCATTGCAAGCATCGATCCACTAGTCACTGGATCCGTGGTTTATGACCTTAGCGTAGCCAGTCGTATCTTCGCCGAATCGGAAACGATGTTTCAAAAGTGTGGCGATAACAAATTGGACGCACACGTACACATGTAAAGATCGCGGACCTGTTTAAGCAATTGGAACGACAGGGATATCTTTGAATCGAAGGAAAACACATGTAAACATCCCATTTGGGCGATGCGACATTGCAGGAGATGAATGACTTGAAGAACGGCACGAAGTCTTGAACAAGATGGGAACATGATCATTCAAGAAGACAGACTTCGACCCAATTCGACACTAGGAACTTTGACCCATGACACCTAAGTGCTATCATTTACACCTCGTGGTCACCAATGGATGCACTTCTAGGTGAAGGACATCAGCTGTCGCTGTCATCGCCTTCAGTGATCAATCGGCTCGATTGATTTCTCGACTCATAACGGACACGGTCGATGGTGGTATCGGATGCAGTGAAGGGAGGAACCGGTATTTTCAGCTCGACGACTTCCATCGCAACTGCTACCACCGCGGCGCGGCCATCCTTATCGTCTTCGAGTGTCGTCAGCGCGGCCACGCATTGACCTTATCCTCAGGAGCCGTCGTCGTCATCGTCGTCGTCATCGTCATCGTCGTCATCGTCATGTTCAGCCTCATTACACTACTGCTCTTAGCCTTCACCTGCGACTACGTTTATGGTGGGTGCCAACAAAACAGTTATGTCACAGTCGTTGTATCCATATGACCCATATTGCTAAGTCTGGGAGGGCCGTACCTTTTGAATGACCCATCAACTGTATCCTCTACTTCGTGGCAAGCTTTGCTGAAGCTTTACCGGCAGTAATCACCCGTGTTCCACTGGGTAGAGGCTAGGGCATCCCCGGCTGGTACTCAGCGATAGATCGTCCATCATCCAGGGATTCGGGCATGTTTCACTAGTCACCGAGAACTTTACTTACACTTTACGTGAACTTTTAAAAACCTAGTTTCGTTGCGAAGTGGAACTGCTGAACACTTTGTCAATTTCAATCATGACATTACACTTTCAAAGTTGTCGAAATTCCCTAAAATTAAAAAAGAAACAGGATTTTGGGTTGCTAGCCAGTTGCGGATCTTTTGATTGTGCCGTTTATTGCATTCGTTAATTAGATTGACATTCCTCTAAGAAAAAAAAAAGAAAAATGGAAGAGAGCCCCAAAGTATTCTTCGATTTCACGTAAAAATATATATTTTCGGAAGCACTGGGTATGCTTCTGGATCCATGATCAAAATACTCCGTTAATTCCCGGAACGGATCCTCTACCTACCTAAAAATCGCACACCAGCCCACCTTCCTAGGGTTTTTTCCATATGAACCAATGATTAATGAAACTATTGTTGACTAACTGTTTTGTAGAAGGGAGAATACCATTTATCAGTTACCCAGCCCTGTAAGTTTTTGGTGCCCACCATGTAAACATTTCAACTGTTGCAGATGTAGGTCGCCCATTTGGCATATCTATTGGTGGAATCTACAAGCAACAAATACTAAACCTATTCTTTTTCCATGTTTTACATTCTGGTAGTATGTAAATAGAAAAAAGGCGGAGATGGTGTAGCGGCAAGTAGCGCTCCATCAAGCATTCATGGTCATGACTTCGAATTCCAGATGGGAATCCGTCTAGGCCAACCAAGCCTTCCATCCCTCCGGGGTTCGGTTAATTGGTGCCAGACTCGCCTGGGAGGACAAAAGCTCTGACTTGTACATCGGCTAGCCACTGCAAGTCATTATATAGGCCACATAACATTCAATGCGCCACCACGATTCTGACTGGAAGTCGAATGCATGGGCGCATCCCTCTGACGGGATCGATTAACGCCTCAAGACTTTATCCTTCATAGATGAAAAGAAAAGGGATGAAAAGACCAAAAGAGAAAGGAATCCTACTAAGAAAGCTTGTGCAGGGAATTTCGCTTATTCTTATCTCATTCGGACGCTCTCTGGACAGCAAAGAGGTATGAGGAGGTTTTTTTGTGGGGAAAAGTGGGTAACAGTTTAATTTTACTCCTCTAAAAATCAGATTTTNTTTTCATTTTCCATAATGCTATTTCGCGAATATGCTGAGAAGCGTCATTTTTAGCTTTCTTCTGTTAACATGTATCATGGAATTTGCTCAAAATCCCTGAGCTGCAGCGAAAATATTGTTTCGTTCCGCTATTTTTTGGACATTTTTATTGTCAATGACATTGTTTCGCGAATTGGCTATGATTGAGATGTCATCAGTATTTCTTTGAACAAAAGTTCGATGAGATTCATCTAAAAGTTGTAATTTATTTGTTTTTTCACGAGCATTCCTGAACGATGCTGACGCTATACAATACTGTCATACTTCAGCTCTTATCAGGAAAAACTTGAGAGGTCGATGATTTTTCTATTCGGTCATATTGAAGACCTCCGTCCTTTAAGACTAATAGGCCAGTATATACTATAAATTTTTAAGCTTTTGATTACTTTTTAAATTAATTAATTTGAAAATTTATCCTATCACTACTACTTTCATTACCGAATCGAATTATTAAACTGTTGTGAAGAAAACTATTGTAGTTACTCGTTTAGAGATTGGTTTCCTTCTCGAATTTGTTCCAAATCGAGTTCAGTGGCCTACATCCTAGCATGAGTTGGCCCTTAACGCCGTATAGCCGCCCCAACAGTTCACCACCGAAGGTTGGGGGGAATCTAATTAAAAAATCTGTTCTTTGATTGATTTTTTTCAATCCAGTTCAATTGGAGTTCTAAATGGAAGTTGAATGCTGGGGCTTATCCAAAAAAGGGATTGATCAACGCCAAAGTCTTTACTTTTTTTTATTTGGATTTTATGAAATGAGCACCATTTTCTTTGAAGATGTTTTTGATTATTTCTTTACAGCCCAGAATAGAATCCAGAGCTAAGAACTCTTCGCTACTGACTAGCAAGTAATCGTTACATTGTGATGCTACCCGTCGAGTTGGAAGAACATCGATGTCCTTGACTCTGCAGATACTATTATTCAGCGACTAAGTATGTAGAATGTGTTTTATGGACCCAAAAAACGGGCTATCGACGGATGTGCGGACTATTTTATGAGCCACATGCTACATCATGTAATCCTAAAAACATCGACTTGTTTNCTCAGAAGTATGGGACTGAACCCATCATCACAAAAACTCTGACATTGTTATAATGTCGTAAATGTAGTAGCACAGATGCTGGGTTATGATGGAAACCTCCGAGCTCTCGAGACACATTCTAGACCGCTTTGAAGCTTTCCAAATGACTTCGTTGAGATTAGATTCTCTGGTACTGATCAATCTCTTTTTGGGGTGTCTCCGTACATTCTTCATCCACTCAAAATCTTAGTAATTTTTCAATGCGTTGGCCCCTGCTATACCTTGCGGAGGTCAGCAGTTTACAAGCCAGCATTTTTTTTCTCCATATTGAATATAATTAGAATAACCAACCCGAAAAGATGTATTCATTGGTTTCTTGTGCATACATTGACTACATATTTGAACCCCAAATTGTGCATGAATAGCGCTCTCATGGCATTGCACCAGCTCCCTCTGTTTCAGGATCAAGCGGTCAGTGGCAGCCTTAAAACTTCCTTTTCTTTAGCCTTACTACCTGGATCAGTTGTATCACATGTCTTCCCTTTGATCATCGATTTCTTCGGCAAGCGACACTGACGCCTCCATTCATCCTTGTCGCAAACCAAAATAGTCTGGCGGATTGTCCTCGCTCGAGGGAACAAGTCATAGCATTTCCTTCAATCAGTGGTTTCGTGAAGAAGTCTCACTACGACACTGGCGGTCGTCCTGGACTTTGACGTCAAATCAGGAACCCAGTCAATTACAGCCGTGGTCCAATGGTCATGACGATATCGCGTAATATCGCCGGCGCACCATAACTTTGATTCCTGTCGTTGCCTTCTCCACCTAAATACAAGTACTTAGATTCTTCAGAGATATTCTTTTCATTTGGCGTAAAGGAAGCATTAATCCCAAATCCGTTGTTCATGAACACCACTTTGTATTTGATTTTCATAAGATTCAGCCTCAAGCCAGTCTTTCCACTAACATTGCCGAATTTGGCCAGCATTCGTTTCGCCTACTCGGTGCTTGGTGTCATAAGTATGATGTCATCTGCGAAACGAGATGATGTACGTAGTGGCCGTCGATCTTCACTCGCGAAACTTCTCATTTTAAATGATGTGTGATTTTTCGAAAGCGGAAACTAAAAGTTTGATCGAGATGTTATCGCCCTGCAGAATGTTAACACTGACTTCCTACTAGAAAGGGGAAATCCAGGTCATTATGTTGTTATAGAGCTAAGGAAGCATCCTTACATATTGAGTGGGAATGCTCGGGTTGTCCTCCACAGTATCAAAGGCCTTCTCCAAATCGATGAACGCAAGACCAAACAGCATTTTGTGCTTTCGTGAAACTTCAGTGAGTCTTGTGACATTGTGAATGTGAATGGTTCTGCATAGTAGATCCTCTTCGACACTCTGTTTACTCGCATGGCTGTTCTTCATCTTCATAGTACACTGGTGTTCCTATTAAGCATGACTCGTGTGAAAGGCTTGTAGATTACAGACATCAGTCAGACTGGGTAATAGTTCCAATATCGTCATCGGTCTCCCGTGTTATATAGCAGCATAGTCTTACTAGTTTTCCACGACGTGGGCACTTTGCATCCAATTGGTACCACCGGGTACGTTAAGAATCTAGCTCGGGGATTGGCGACGTACTGGTGGAAGGCTATTCAGGCGTTCTGACTTAGCCTATACGGACCTGACACCGCACGATTCTTTATCGACGTGATGACATGTAGAAGTTTGGAAGGGAGAATGAAGGAACGGTATATCCATCCCGCTTAAGAAGAGAGGCAGGAAGGTATATATGGTTCTCGAAGAGATCCGGATAGAAGCCGTGAATGGCTTTTTACATTGCTCTTCGAGATACATCAATTGCTTCATCAGTGAGACAAAGAGAAGTCGCCTCGATCTTGTAATTTGCGAAACTCCAGCGGTCTTTGCGAATGCTCTTCCCCGTCTCGACGGCTCTAACGAAAATGACTACTACCTTTACTTCCGGATTTTTCCTTCTCTGTACAGCTTCGCGTGTTCGACTTTACATGGTGACTAGCGTCAGCTCGCGTGATCCCATGGCGGCGTATGAAGTCCAGAGCCTTGGGAGACAGACGTCTCTTAAGAGCTTGTATACTCTCCAGTTTACTAGCACTATCGTGAAGATATTCGAGCCGGTTACATCCTACATCAATGTTGTCGATAACGGAACTTTCACAGAAACTTGCAAGAAAAGCGAAGTTGTTCCAGTTCATGACGGCCTCAGGGCTTCGTTTTCTGTACTTCGCAGCTCTTTCTTCATGGCCTAGCGCGAAGAAAGCAACAAAACAAACTTAGGAACAACAGCGAGTCAATGAGGCAAAACTTCCGATTGACGATGATCTAATTCCATTATGGAACTGTTCATCAAGTGACTCCCATGTCCATCTTCTGTGTCTATACAAAACGCTTCTAGCTACTCCTTTTCGTGTTGTCAAGCTTTTGCACGAATCGATATTCATGGTCGAGCACGTAATGACGTGACGCCTACTCCGCCGACGTCTCTTCTGTTGCATGCCCCAAGGAACGGTTCTTCTCTAATGGTTAAAAACGGGTAGGATCAGTCTACACAGGATCTCGATGATCGACGGGACGACAAGTGATACAAGTGAAATACTTTTTGAATGGTGTATGGTATGACTTGAATTATAACGACCGTCTCATTTAGAAAAGAAACGTCATGACTGATTAAAATAAGTCCAACGAAATAGTAAACTCGGAACTGGGAAATATATTCGTTACATCTTTAGTCGTGATGATTTTTGAGGGTATTCTCATTATGCGTAATCGAAGGCCTATGAAATAGTCGAGTGAAGAACGGATTTGCAATGCTAGCACGATCACAGCCCCTAGGGACATCGCGAGCATTCTGAAGGGTATCTCCAATATGGCTTTCCAACGATTGAGAATTAAGAAATCTTCATTGGATTCGATAGCAATGAGGTTCACATAGCTCTCCAATGTACACTTCACCGGTTAATGCTGCCTTTGCAAAATAGACAACATATTCAGCTCGGCCGGGAATCGTAAGTGGTTTACGGTAACGGGAAGCAATAGGAAAGACACTTCACATTTGAACTCAACGAATGACGTTGTAAACAGCGGGAAATGCTTGATAGCGTGTGACTATGGCGCCCCCGACCGTGTTAACCTTGACCCTACGGCGCCTCCCGTCCTACACTCTTCGATAAAGCAACATTTCAAAAACCTTGAGTATTGTAGCTGGCTGGAAAATCGTGGAATGCCGAGTCACGCAAAGTGCGGTGTTAATCAGTATGTTGACCACATTTCAACGTCTTCACGATTCCTGGTTATGTTAAGAATATCGAATGTGATAGGAACAGCTTCGTAAAGGGAACCAAACGAGAGTTCACTTTAACAAGTACAAGAACACTTTTTTGAAGGACAGAATGATCCGCAGTTTATCATAATCTACAGCGACTACGAGTTAGGGGTGTCCTACCTCTGCCAGCGACATATGACAGTCAGGGTTGGGCACAATTTTTTAGAAAAAGACTGGTGCAGTAGCGGCATACCTCAAGGGACGGTCCTATCACCGTTAATGTTTCTCATCTATACGATGGATCTACCATCTTTTATTAGAACGTATCCCGATATCAAGGTTCAAATGCACGCGGATGACATTACGGTTTACGCTTGTTCTAATTCTTATAACGAAAATACGGTTAAAGCTGCCTTAAAAAATTCGATTATGAAACTGACCGAGTGGGCTGCCGTGTGGGGGCTTTCTGTAAACCTCAACAAATGTTCAGTTTTCCATATTGGTGAAGGTGCTGCAGGAGTTTATGAGTTAAATGGTACCGTTCTGAAAACTTGCCATACCATAAGGGAGCTCGGGGTATTTATCAATGATAACCTCAAGTTCACAGATCATTTTGATAAAGTCACCAAGTATGCTTATGCAGTTTTGTACCTCATCTTTCGGAACCTCAGTAGCAAAGATACGAGAACATTGCTTCGACTCTACAAAGCCCTTGTCCTACCAAATCTGGGAGTACTGTTCCCCCGTATGGAATCCTATCCTGAAAAAGGACATATCAAAGTTCGAGAGGGTACAGCAAACCTTCACAAGATTGCTCTTTCTCAGATGCTTTCCATCTTTCACTTACGATCGCCTTGATTCTGAGGCGAATCGAGAATGACTTAACTTTATTACTTCGTATCTTAAAAAATGGTACAGTTCTGAAACCTAGTAAGTACTGGGTATTCCGGCCCAGCAGTAGCAGGTCAAGTGGCTTCAAGGTATATCATGCAAGGATCTTGTCTAAAAACTATGTTCTACTATTCAACAACTTTTTCTTTCGTTCGGTTAGATGGCTCAGTCATCTTCCAGGTGATCTTCTAGTAGCATCCAGAGCCAACACTTTCAGAAGAAATTTGAATGAACTCAATGATTTTTCTTTCTTGGTTGTTTGTCGTGCTAATATGCAGGACTGGAGCTGGATATCGCTTCCGAGTAGTGAGCTGCAGTACAACTGTGAAATGGATAATCGTCCTCCTCTGATACCTTTATTTGTGAACTGCTGTGAAAGTTACTAACAAGATTGTCGCACAAAATTGGTACTATAGGGCATATTATAGAGCTGCTTCCACCTTCCCAGGCTCAACGCCTCACTGCAATTTCTTTATCTACTCTCACTTGGTCAGCCAAACTACTATGTACCGCCATCTAATTCACTGAGTATGGGGCGGGCGTTTGTATTAAAACCTTCAAAAATTCCTTCGCAGGCGCGAGTCAACCAGTATGCTTCAAGCAATACTTGGGTCTGGGTCATACGCCCTGGGTTCGTGTTTAGATCAAAGAGGCACCTACTTCCCACCCGGGAACAACTTCGTTTGGTTGCGTTGCCCAGACTTACCTGCACTTCTATGGTAGTCATTCACTATTAAATCAAACAACTATCTGTAGGTAGTCACTGCTTACTTGAGTCCCTGACACACTGAGGGCAGTTGTTAGTCTTGAGCTGACCTTTTTGGGTCGTCCTTTTGTATACGGCAGGCTTGGGATGTTGGAAGCGCGACTCCTTTTTATCTTTTCTCTTTATCTTTCCTTTTTACAGCTATTATACGAGTTTAGCGTTTGTTTTTTTGTTTGTTTTCATCTTAACATGCTTGTCAAAACTAACACCTTCTGCCCTGTTGTAGCGCACCATTGAGTGCACAAATAAATAAATAAATAAATTGAGGGGTGTTCAAGCATTAGAGCCAGAAATCAACTGACCCTTTTCTGACTCTTTCTTTCTGAACACCCTACTCATCATTTTCTGTGCCCGTCTTTGTCCTATGCCATCAGAGTGCGCAGAAATTTTCGCCAGGCGCTTAACACCACGCCAACATCTAGTTGAGCAATCAATTTATCCACTACCCTCAAGAGACAAACCAAAGCTACGGATCTGTGTTTTTATTTTCTCCCAATCAGACGATCACAGTACTGATCAATTAGACTCAAAAGGGTGAAAAGCCAGATGGAACAAGATTTACACAGCATCTAGTCCTGAGCGGCTCCTTGTCGTTCTTATCAGGATACTGCATAGTCCATTCAATTCCATGTTAAGATGGTATTTGCAAAAAGGATTTGAACACTGATTCGTAACAGTCAATATCTCCTAATTTGCAGGTAACTACCTCGATATCAACGAATGTTTCGTCGAACTGCCGAATTTCCAGGTCAGTCCTATTGGCTTCCATCAGTCGAAGGATCTTAGACATAAACTTGTTCCAGCTGACTGTGGACTCGATGGCAGTCGAATCAGTGGAGTTCAAGGATGATTGCCTGAGAGCCTGTCTGCGTAGCTTCCTACGCGGAAAACCATGCGCAGGAGCTGAACATCGTCCGAAAGATAATGTGAGTCCAGGGTAAACTAATATTCACAATATTAGCCTAGTCCCATCGACGACTTTATAAGATTCATTGCATTTCGAACAGAAACTCGAACTTCGACAAAAGTGATTTTTGAAATTTCTCATTAGAGTGAACCTGCGATCTTCCAGGATAACACATGGGACGATGTCGGGTCGAAAAGCGGCCTAGATAAGCTGTAGTAAAGGTTCTAAAACCGACTTTCCCGACGTGCACACCCAGAGGCGGACGAGCTATCACGGGATGTAGAGGTTGCACCAGTCGCACCGAGACGCATCCTTACACGTAGGCCAACTTACTGTAGCCAGATGTAGTAGCAATGGCACACACGTTTGGACAGCTCGTCCAAATACCCTTTCCATGTAACCTTCGTTATCACATTCTCGCTCAACTCTTAATTCGACCTTTTTGGGAGCCTGATATAGCCACTTTTGTCCTGTTCTAGACTATTACTTCCATTCGTCCAGAACTAGACCTCCAGAATCATGATGAACTGTGCCTTCAACAGAAATGCCGTAGAATTTGGCGAATGAAGGAAGAATAATGAAAGCGCGCTTGTTGATGTTAAAAACATCCTTGCAATAGTCGATTTGCTCTAGCGAGCGTAGAACCTTTTGGACGGGCCGGAGCTAGTTTAATCATACAGGTATATAGCATAAGAGGGCGTCAGGGTAGAGGCCTTGGGTCAGAAGGCGTCTTGGCGGTAGCCGTGCCTGGACTAGCTCGCCAACCCGGCATTCTCAGTTGGCGCTGCCTGAGCCCTTCATTCCTCGTGAACTATGAAATAAAGATACCGTGAGAACTGGCCGACATCGCACAAACGGTGTCCTAGTCCTGGCGTGATGAACGCGATGACCCTTCCAATGGGTCGCAGTGCGATTTAAAAGGAATTTGCCATACTGAAAGTTATCCAATCGAAGAGTCTCTAATTATGGTAATGCGGCTTTCATCAAGATATATTTGTAGCAGATTTCACAATTCAGCAATTCCACGAATCCTCAGATCAAAAGTATCTCGGGATGGAAGAGAATGTGATTTTCATCATTTCTCAGCTAGAATTAATCCCTTACAGATGGATACAGTTCACATCTAGGGAGAACACTCAACAGTTGACAGTTTTGGGTCTTATTTCCAGAATCACAGCCTCATGTCTTGCAGATGTAAGAGGGGACATAATTTTTTTTGCATGGATGACCGCATCGCAACCGCACGCGTCCCTTCCCGTCTATCTCTTTAGTCCTTCGCAAATTAATTGTTACACACAAGGCCTTCTGGTAAATGCGATGTTTAGGCATGCGTGCTGTCCGAAAAAACTGGTGAACGACGATTGAACAATGAACCCAAGACAGGAAGCTATTTTGAGAATGTTTGTGCTCGACCACAAGGTTAGTCACAAGATTTTCACCAGCGACTTTCACGAACTCCCTAAAACGGACCGATAATGTGCCTGATCAGGTAATGTCGTAATAGAGCGGAGCAGAGCACAATATATTAGGGCATAGCAAAAGAGATCGGGTCGCCTGATGGATTCATAAGTGCCTTTAGTTCCAAGCTCAATACGTTTATTCTGAAAGGAGCAATTTCCAGAAGTGTAAAGTCGTGTTGTTAATCATAAAGTCATGTTTATTTAGAAAGACTGCAAAGGCAAACATCCTGGAAATATAGTAAAAGCCGAAATAATCAGCTGATTAAGTTTCGGTAATCTACAGGTAGCTGAGCGTGTGGATTTGCTCGATCCTCGATTGTGGGTTTGGAGCTTTTCCAAAAAGGCTGGCAATCGCCCCTATTTTGTTTATTTAGTTGCAGAAAAGGCTTGGAATTGAGTCTAAGGCTTCTTTGACCGTAGAGATGCGCTGAGTGACGAACTTCAAAATGTCCATCATGACGTTCCCCGAAAACGAAACTTTTTTTCCATACTTTTCCCATACTCAGAAGTGAAGGATGAAGGAATTGGTCGACCCTTGGCCAGTAAGCCTCACCGATTCTTTTCAAAAAGGGGTCGGGGTTAATTCAAGAAGGAATCTAATCCATTCATATTGTATGAAAGTTCGATCGGACGCAATCCAATTGTTTTGATGCATGTGACAGACGACTGTAAAGATTGATGTGTGACAGTCTCGAAAAATATGACATTTTCAAAACTGGACTCATAAATATTTCTCATTTCCGGCACTTTCTGCCGTGACCTCGGTTCCGGTAATGTCCTTTTCGATCACGTTCCGGCACCTCTTCTTTGAAACCCTTGGTCGTCACCTTTCGCGTGTTCTGGAGTCCATTAATTTCCTTATCAGGTAATCCTGTCACTATCTTTACACATGTCCATACCATTGCGAGAGCTGTTCCCGCACCTTCAGGTAGTTGAAACTGCCTTAAGGTGCTCGTTCATGAGCCATGCTAAGAAGCAGGTCCTTTCTGATGTCATTTCAACAGGATGGAGTTGTCTTTCACAATTTGTTCCTAGCTAGCCCTGGCTTCCTCAGAGCATCGTGGGCCTGGGCGGCATGAATTTCCTTGGCCTCTTGGAGCACTACCGATCGCAGAGGTATCTGCTGACTCCCTTCTTTTCAACTATGTAGTTTATGCGATCCTTTACAGCCTAGCCCATTCTACTCCAGCGGCTAGGATACACTATAGGTATTGGGGTTACTTCATTCTTTCGATGCATTCCCCTACGCGGTTTGGAGGCGGTTTGCTCCGAGCCATTCTCGAGTGTGAGCAACTTGGTTTCCTTCGCACTCCGGTAAAGGCCATTCTCTGCCAACGCATTCTGTGATTTTGCAACTCGTCTTGCAGTTATTTCCTACTTTCTACAAACAGGGCGACATCATCGGTGCATAACCGAGTCTTGAAACATGCTCAAGTTCTTTTGTGATGAAGTTCAGTGATAATAAGAAGGGAAATTCGTTCAAATTGAAATCAGGGCTGGTCTTTGTCATATCCAAATTAGCTGTCCGTTGTTTTTATTGAACTCTACGTCCGGCTATCTGGGGACTATGGTAGATGACCAGACCAGGGGAGTTAGGCGTTCCGGGATGCGGCAATACGTTGGCACATTCTAAAGTACTGCCCATGGTGGTTAGCGGAGCGAATTCTCTAATCGTGGAAGACTAGGTGGCACGACCTTATTCTAGCACATCTTTGGCTATGATGATAGCATCCATTACAGACCTTTCAGACACGTAGACGGATTGCTCTCGTGTCCGTCGATTCGACCAATGGATCATATACTTTCACTTATGCGCAGGCAACCTTATTCCACGGTATCAGGTTCTGCTGCAGGCTGCACAGTTGGCACACTGTTGACTCTGAAATCGCGTCTGCTAGTGCAGCCTACTTTTCTCTTGATTCATAACTCGTTCGACTTATCGTTCCAAAGTCATGCTGCTTTGCCTCCTTTGAACCAACCCTAAGACTCCTCCAGGGCATCCTCTGCATATTGTAGGGAGACCTCCGAAGTATCACTCCAAAGAGTCTGCGGATCTAGGAAATCAGTTTCAGAATCATTCGCTCGAGATTGCCCGTTCAAACTCAGTGATGCTTTCCCCAATACATTCTTCGTTGCGCTCATGCCGTTGCTCTTTCTCAGGGGTTTTCTTGAGTCGTACCCTCTTGGAAGTTCCATAATGGGGAGTCGATTCTTTATTCGGTAGCCAATCTCTAGGACTTTCCAGTTAGCACTGCAATGCTCGAGGGCTTAATTCGAACCAGCTTTACTGGCCGAGCTCATTTACTTATTAGTGATGAGTCCAAGCGAAAGTTCCGCTTCCAACTTCTGTGTCTTAGCTTTATCACTGATAGCTTTTTTCAATTTTGACCATTTTTGTTCTGTCAGGTACTCTTTATCAACAACCTATCAATCACTGCTAGTGACACCATTCTTGCTCCTTCTGCAGGTCAATCATTCTGCCTCTTAAGTGACCATTCTTGTGCATGAATCACATTGGCAATATGCCTCGATAGCTTTCAGGCTTGGGGTAATTATTCTTAGACTTGTAGCCAATCCACTGGTAGACGAGTTCCCATCCAGTGATATCTGATTATCCTATTCTTGTCTTCTATCAATCCTATCAAAATACTAGTTCCAGAATATCTCACCCATTTCTCACCATGATCATGTCCAGGGAACCCGGAAAGACATTTTCTTATTGTAATGATAAATTACAAGTACTGAAAGAGGTGCAAAAGTTTGCCGTTTTAGTCTACAGAACAGACTTGAGGATTGGGTCCTAGATCGACTTTCGCCTAAGCTAACAAAGCTTCCCTTTTTCAAAATCAGACCGCTGAACTGAGATTTGTGCAAGCGTACGCAATGATTGCTATATTATCATTAATCATAGATAAAAGATAGTTCTGGGGCGTTAATCAATCCAGTTCTGGGATGCGCCCCGCATTCGACTTCCATTTGAAAATCGTAGCAGCCTACTGAATGCGTATGTGGCCTATACAATAAATTGCACTGGTCAGCCGATGTACATGTCAGTGCTTTTATCCTTGCAAACGAGTCTGGCAACAATTAGCCGGCCCCGGAGGTATCGAAGGCTCGGTTGGCCTAGGGGATATCGATCCGGATTGGAACCGTTACCATGTGTGCGTGAGGTGCGCCACTTGCCACTACGCCACCTCCGCCCAATAATAAATATACAATGATATAGTACTGGCTATTCATTGACATTAAAAACACTTCTATTTGGAGAACTTCACTCGATTCAATTCAAATTATTGGTTACAGGATTATTTTTCGGAGTGTAATCAAACTTTGTGTAAACATGAGAAGAATTAAACAATCTTGGAGCCCCGAAAAACTCGCCCACCCACCAACTCGTTCCAAACACAACAGGACGAGTTTCCTACGAAACCGCAATGTGTAAACATTTTAAATGGTTTTCCTAGTTAGAGCTCAAAGTCAAATACTATAATACAAGCATGTATAAAGGATCTGTGAAGAGGGAAAGTGGGTCCTCCGTAAATCCCTAGAACGCCCGCTTCATACTTGCTTTTCGTTTCGAATCGTGCGAATAAGACGTAGACATAAGCATAGATTTGGGCAGCATACTGTAAATTAGAGGGGCAAACCTACATAACTAACTTAGCAGTACGGTTCATTCAGAACTCAAAAATTACTGATCCAAAAAAAGCGATAGGCCTCACCTGCCTTAAAAGGAAGCCAGGAAGTCCATTTTCGGTGTTCACTGTTCAAAATGGCATTCCTGATCCTAAGGAATCTCAATGTCGAACCGTCGAACTGCTCTGAAGACTAGTGTGATCAAAGCTTCCAAAACCTTACTGATACCTCTCCCCCTCCATCTTCACCACCTCCAACCCCTCCCCCCCCCCCCCCCCCCCCCCCTCAGAACCTCAGAATTTCTCGACAAGCGTATTCCTTTTCATGGTGTCACTGGGGTTCCCAGACCTTTTTCACATCGTTGTTGTTCTGACTTTCTTAATCGGCCGATCGAAGGTATTTTCATCTCCCGGACAACATCGGACTGTTTTGTTGCGCCAAATTGTCGGTAAGATGCAAAGCCGTTATTCTTTCATCTTCACATATATCTATCAGACGCTACCGAAGGGGACATTATCGTCGAGGCGCCGTTTGATTTACGTTAATGTCTGGAGTGCTGCTGATGGTGAAGGCGACGGCGCCAAGTCGCTCCACCAGCAGGTTAGTTCAAGGTTCCTACATACTCTCTACATAATCGGTCAAATTCTACATACCTTCCCATTTTATCGCATTAGAATTGATCTCAGAGTAGCTTGAGGATCTCCGTCAAACTGTAGTGAAAAGCGGTGCGTCGTGCCGCTTGTTCTGAAAATGCAAAAGTTTCCGAAGTATTCTAGAAGTCCTTGAGGTTTTTAGAGAAGACGACTTGCAAAGTAAGGTTTCCCGACATCAAAGGTTGCCCAATGCACCAAAAAGTATTTGTCTAACAGTAAGCGCATTAGAGAGTGCGATGATAGTATAAGTGTATGGTATATGTTCTACGAATTTCATTTAGTCAAGTAGCTTAAACAAAATGAAAAGCTTAAACAAAAAGAAAAGCCACCGAAGGAAACTTCGAGCGATTCAAAGCAGCATCTGGTACACTTGTTTTTCGGTTAACCTCATCGCTTTGTGGTAATAGCCCTCAGTCGCTTCAAAAGCGAGCCGATCAGTGGATGAAAGTGACCGAAAGCGATTCCCCATCCCGACAAAGGACGTGCTGAAGTGGCTACACGTTAGAATGAAGAGTAGCATGAGGCTCTGCTGCGGATAACCTTATACGGTATAGTCCGGCTAGACTTCACCAGCAACAAAAGCCGGTAGATGTTCTTGTGACCACTGTTGAACCGTTTTGGTCGTTGGTTGGCTTGATGTCTTGCTGATAATGTCCAAGAGTTACTTCCAAAACG